TTATCATTTTCACCTTCCCACCCCCCCCCCCCCCCCCCCCCACACCCAAAAACAAAACAAAACACCAAAAAAAATAAAAAAAAAAAAAAAACAAAAAAAAAAAAAAAAAAAAAAAAACAAAAAAAAAAAAAAAAAAAAAAAAAAAAAAAAAAAAAAAAAAAAACATGCAGAAAACGCAAGCAACACCCCCAATATAAAAGTCAGATCCACCAAACCGCCTGTCGTGTTATCCACCTACCTACCAGGTCTCGGGCCCGAAGCGGGTTCCGTCCGGCACGGATTGGTACGAGCAGGCCTGCCAGTCGCAGCCTGACTTGTAGATCTCGGTGCCCCACCAGCTGAAGCCCTTCATCCAGCCCGGGTAGATGAAGCCGAAGAAGACGACGACGATGCCGAAGGCCAGACCCGAGTCGAGGGCGGCGCTGAGCGTCATGGTGTACTTTGCCCACCACGCCGTGGCCCTGTTCTTGACCAGGTAGTTGAAGAGGTAGCACACCAGGGCCCAGACCGAGAAGTTCAGGCCCGTGGCGGGCGGGATCCAGCCGAGCGAGCCGAACAGCACGGGGAGGTTGATCTTGCGCACGATGCTGTCCTTCCTGTTGCGGCCGTAGAGCCACAGCGGGATCGGCAGGATGGCGCCGACAAGGAAGGCCCACACCAGCGGGCGGTAGGTCGCGTTGGGCCCGAAGAACTCGGCCGGCCCCACGACCCCCCAGAGGATGGAGCCGTTGAAGTGGACCCGCGCGAGGGGGCAGGTGAAGCCGTTGATGGCCTCGGACGTGCAGAGCCCCGGCACGTTTGCGAACATCCAGTTCAGGACGGCGATCTGCGTCAGCGAGGACACGATGGTGGCGACCATCTGGACCGAGAAGAGGATGCGCGGCGGGATCTTCATGTAGTGGCCGAGCTTGAGATCGGCGGCGAACTTGATCCCCTGCGCCGAGGAGATGTATCCGTACGTGACGAAGACCATGTTCGCCACCGGCCGGCCTGGGAAGACGACGCCGCACACGAGCTGGCAGATGAGGTAGATGCTGCTGTGCTGGTTCGTGACGGCCATGATGATGCCGATTGGTATGAACAGGATGCTGCATATCCCGAGGGCGAGGAGGAGCCCGTACCACGGCAAATGGATCGGATAGCTGCGTGTGTTTGGTCAGCAAATGGGGTGCAGCAAAACGTGTTCGGCCCACCATGCCATGACTTACTATTCGACCACAAAGATGCCAATGGCGGTCATGGAGAGAAAGGTTAAAAAGTACCACCACATGGGCGCATCCTTATACCTCCTCATAAGCCTGTTGTGTACATCCTCTCGGCTCATGAGATTCTCGGTGCTGGATGATAGCGTTGTGAGATAGCGGCTGCTGCGGTCGCGCGACGACGCCGTCGCCTCGCCGTTGCTGGAGACCGGCCGATACAGGGGTGTGGCATCCTCATGAACGTCTTTTATGGATCTTTTCCACTGGGTCCAGATATCCCTCCCGTGCCAGCATGCCGTGTGCGTCAGCAACGCGGCGAGGCCGGCGAACTGGACGCCATAGCTCAAGACGTAGGTAATGGGTAGGAAAACCCTGCTGTAGTTCTGGTATGCCTCTTTGTCAAAGAGAAAGTCTTCGGTCAGAATCTTGCTGACGTCGTATACTTTCCCTGTGTTGTCGAACACGGCGGACGACAGGATCGGCATATAGGACGAGTAGAGCCAGTTGCTATAGTAGGCAATGGGAGCAATGATCCACATGACGAGCACGAGGCCACCTACCACGTTCATGGCAGCCCAGAAAGGGGTGAGGAGTGGAGATCCTATGTAGGCTATCTGTGCCCAGTCAAACGTCATGGGAAAGAGGCCAAGTCCGGATACAACGCCGAACAGGTTGGCGACGACGACGTTGTCTGGCGCGAACCAAGTCACCACGTTGAAGTAGCTCAGCGCGGGCATCAGCAAGCCGGGGAGAAAATAAAAGAGGAACGCAGAAGTCCAAACGATGTAGAAGAACTTCCAACGACTGACTCTCCACCCGTTAGCCTCCCTGTTCTCCTCCTTGTGCAGCGTGGAGAACATGGCAGCGGACATGAGCGTGCCCGGCCAGATCATGCTGCTTGGCCTGACCAAGAACCTCCTGGTGAGTCCAGCAAAGGTATAGCCCAGTATTTGCGTCGAGAGCGTCAGCAGAAGCTGGTAGACGATGCCGACATCCTGCTTGTAGAAGCGGGTCTGCTCCACGATCACGTCCGTTGCGAAAGCGAAGCCGAACGAGACGTTGCTGCTGACATAGACACAGCTGTGCTCCTTCTCGTTCCAACGTCCCTGGGTTAACCAGAGGCGGAAACGGTCCAGCCTGCTCCTGTGGGCGTACGGGACGAAGCGGGCATGTCGCGCCTCGCCAGGGCTCGAAGGGCACTCGTCGGCAGCACGGAATCCGTCAATATACTCTTCGGGGGGGTCATCCCGGCGTTTCAATAGATAATCCCATAAAAGGCCAAGTGGATGGACAAGCAACAAAGCTATGACGGGGGTGATGGCGACACTGGGGTATCTCAACGAGAAGAAAAGATTGGTGGCCGACCCGAGGATCGAGAAGAGAATGGACAGGGTCCACATGCGGGGGGTGTTTATGGACAGAGTGGTATTGTCTGTAGGCGGAACAGAAGCCCGAACTTGGGGATATGGGGAGTTGTCGGGCGGGTCTTGGTCGAATTCGGCACCGTACGCGCCGCCGTCGTCGTCCTCGTCCTCCAGCAGACCCGCCTCGCTGCCGTCATCGCTGTCCTGCTTCGGGTCTTGGAGCATGTCGGGTGGCACAGCTGTTTCGGTGACACCAAAACGACCTTCTAGACCTCGTATGGTACCGGAGCCGCCGAGCTCTTCCGCGAACCGCGCGGAGCGTCTGCTGCGCAGCACCTTTGGCCCTGACAGCGCATCTCGACTCGGTCTTCTCCGTAAATCCGGCGGCGGCTGCTCGTCTACGTCTGTGGGGTCGGCGGATGAGGAACTGGAGGAAACCCAATGGTCGCGAAGGGCACCGCCCCGCAAGTCGGGAGATATGGCGCCGTACGAGGGTTGCGTGGAGCTCGGTGCCGACCGAAGCAAGGAGGGTTTTGGGGTCATCTGTCCCTCTGCTGGTGTTTGTGTTTGGTCGCCCGAATTGCTGCTGTTGGAAGTCTCGTCGACCGTGTCCCCTCCTGACTCGAGTCCTGGGCCATGAGGATTCGAGCTGGACAGAGACTGGGTTGGCAATTGGGAAAATGCTTCGAAGGTTTCATCGGCGGGAGTCAGGGTTGGCGTGGGGCGCGATGCAGCTGTGGAACTTCGCTCGAGGGGGCGGAGCTGGAAGTCTTGAGCGAGTGTGTCTGAATTCCTTCTGTTGCTAAGGGGCGTCATATGCCTGCAAGCCGGTGGCTGCCTGGATCTGGTATCAGGTCGTGTCCGTTTCGATGAAGATGTCCAGTACCAAGAGGTGGGCACTATGGAATAGCCACCTTGGAAGCATGCGGCACGCTGGGGGCCAGACTGATCTCGCCCAAGCTGGTTGGACCGCGGCCCAGGAACGTGGGACTAGCTATGTACGCACACGCAGGTGGTAAGCAAGGGGCTAGTCAGAGTCCGATGATCGAGTTGGGCTGCCCAATGAAGCAACGGGGGGAGAGACAAGGGCGCGCGCGCGCAGGAAAATGGGGAGTGGGTGCCTAGGTGGGGTGTGGGGGCAGATGCTATACAGACACGAGACGACCTCCGTCTGCGTAATAGCGGGAAGTCCCACGTCTAGTGCAGGCTCTGATTGTCAGCTGCCGCTCCGTCGCAGGCTCGCAGCGAATTTTCAGCCACTTTTTGGGCAATGGTTACGACTATTGTGAAGTAAAAAAGGACGACGAGAAGTCAGTATTCATGGCCCGATAAGCAGTGGATCCTCCTTCGTAATAGCCCGGTTTGCCTGGCACGCTAGGGATGATGCGTGAGGGAGTCCAGCACGGGCAATATTATGGTAGGTACCAGTTGGAAGATACTATTTCCGCGCATGCCGCCGCATTAGGCGGCTCCCGGTCTCCACTTGCGGGAGAGATGCCTACTAAGTACTGCCTCGGCCGGCCGCACTCACCGCCTTCCCAAATTGTTTCACACTGGCCCTCTGAACGATCCAAGAGAAGTCATGAAAACCACCCTGGGCTGACCAGATGCGGAAGGGCACATTTATCTAGCCCGATCCAATTATATCAAGTACTAGCTACAGACTTCTCAACCGGGTCGGATTTTGAGATTTGTCGACGTTGCGGTAGGAAATGTGTAATTTCACGTTATTAGGGACAATGGTATTTAGGTAATTAGCTACTGTGTTTAGTCTTGGTGTTGGAGTTGCTACAGATAGGGGGTCTTAATAAGGGAAAACGAACAAATACAGGTGGGAACAGGAAGCGAGAATGAGGACAAGATGTAGAGATGTTGCAAGGATGGTATGTACATCCAACTTTCACCATGACTGTATCAGCTTGCTAACCTGATGTATCCATATCAACTCTTCCAGTAGAGACATAATGGAGAATGTTTCACAAGCCCTGAAGGTCGCCATCGACAGTTCCGGCTTTGTCCTTGTCAACCCATCCTTCAGTATGACCGCCTCCAAAATCGATGATCCAGGCATCGCCATGTGTGTCGATAATAATGTTATCAGGCTTTGCATCTCCCCAAACAATACCAGCTCCACGCAGTGCTGCCAAGATGTCCTGAATTTGCCTGATCCACCTTTCTTTCGACGATTCTGGGGTTTCAGGGGTTTCTACCGCATCGCTCAGCAGGGTATGCTCGTCAATATGGTGAAGAATAAGCCCCACAAGCTGATGTTTCTCATCTTGGACAACACCAAAAAGACGCGAGGTTCGCACACTAGGCCCAAAACTAGCTCGAAAAACTTGCTCATATCTTCCAACCTCCTTCCTGCCAATATCATCTCCAAGCAAGTCGAGAGATTTGAAGAAGAATTGTTGGCCATTTGCAAGGACTCGCCTTGGTGGGTCATCCAGGATGTGTCGCGGATCGTTGCTGATTATCTCGACTTGTGACGGGTGAAAAGACGGGAATATCGTATCCAAAGGGGCAGATTCCTCGTTGTCGTAGCCAAACTCTACGTAAGGCTCCTCCGAATCCCTTGGCTCGAGCTTTACCAGCCGCAATTCATCATCAACAGCGCCAAGTTCGCACTCAAAGGACTTGACGCTGAGGAAATGCTGCAGTGTCACCTTTGACGGGAGGGTGGGCTGTGGTGCGACGCTTTTCAGGACCGGTAGGATTGGGGATACTACCCATTCGAAGCATCCAGAAATCGTGACGTCTTGGTTTCTGAGCTGACCGTCATCCATGTTTTCTTCATCCATGGCCTCATCTTCAGCACCATATTCACACTCCTCTACACCAAAAGCGAGGAATGCAAAGTATTTGCAGAACTCGTCCATTCTATGGGCAGAATTGTGGAAATTGGAAGCCGACACGTGGATGAAGAAGAATGCGCCTTTCGCACGTATTTCAAGCGTAAACCATTCGGGGCCACTGTCCCCTTCGTTGCTGCTGGTATAGCCACAGATGCGGTAGGGAGTCTGGCTGCGGATGTTGGGCTCCATGGTTCTGGGTGTCAGATAAACGTGCTTTCAATGTTTAGACAGGTAAAACCTGTCAGAATGATGGTAATAGACTGGCAGGAGGAGAAGCATTGAGGGACGGGAGTTGGTTGTTTGTTGTTGGTTGTCGACACGCAGCAGCCAGCTGGTAGTTACATATGAGGCACAGAAAAGAAGCGAAAGCAAGGGTAGTTGAGAACCTCAGATTCTAACTGTCCACCCGCTTATCCTCGGGTATACATAATAGCCGGCTGCAGTAACAAAATATGGCCCTTTTGGATGGAATTTGTCGAGGTTTGAGATGTGGTAAGCTTGGACTCAGATATGCTTTCTATTTCTTACACAATTTGTGCGCTCATTATCCTTTTGCATGGAATCACAGTAAGAGAGGGCAGAACTGTTCATACGGATTCAGTTGCCGACTAATCTAGCCTCAAGGCTTAGAGGCATGGCTGTAGCCGCCATCCCCCAACTGATTCCCAGAGACGAGCATATTGAGCTGAAGTCGCGAGGCAGAGTGTCCAGATGCGCCTCAATTACATCCACTGCGCCGTCGATCTCCTTCCTGTCCCCGAGAATTCCACTTGCCAAGAAGCGAGTTGAGATATTGCGGTATTGAGCGCAACGGATCGCCTTGCAGAGGTCAAACACGGCGCTGATATAGATGTTGTTGGACATCCTGGCCGGGTCCTTGGTGTTGCTACTCGCGCCGTTGCGCGGGACGGGTGCGTCCTGGCCTGCTCGACCGTTAAGGAAGATATAGCCAAAACCCGTAGGGGCTATATGCAAGATGATCGCGACGGCGACACCATATACAGCAATTTCCTTGAGGTTCTCGTAGTTTTTGGTGGAGAGGTAGTCTGTTGCCCCGACGAACATGCCTCGGCATATTGACACGAATATGTCGGCCGCGTAAGTGGCGCACGAGGAAGTGTTGTTGCAAACACCTGAGAGCACGCATTCCTCGAGATTGGAAGGGGGAGACGCATTGTTCCGGGAGCTGAAGCTGCGCACCTCGTTTGAATCGAATAGAGCCTCGAGAGGAAGAACCGATGAGTCCCCAGTGTGCCTTTTCTCGTACCAGTCCGATGGTTGATTCAGGCTTGGTGTTAGGCAGGTGGCGTAGTGATCAGAGTCGCCAGGGATTGTGATAAGTGCCTCTGTAATGCTAGTTGCACCTAGTAAATGGACCGCTAGGAAAGCGAGCTTCATTGTAAATGAGGAACACCTGACGGCGCAGAGGAGATATTCCTCCCCTGGTCCGTAGTAGAAGGGGAAGGACTTATCTTAAATCGGAAGTTGGGAAATTAAACCTCCCAGTGTGTGGCACCAAAAAGGGTTAACCAATCAAATTGACGCGCATTGATCCGCCGACTCTTCTATCGGCTGCTGGGATACAAGTCTCTAGGTTTTTTTTCCATCTGCGTTTTCCCCTAGAAGTCAAAGGCTTGAATGAGATAAGTGTATTGAGTTAAGTCACCTACATTAAATATCTTAGACAAATATATCATCATCATCGTAGCCTCCCAGAGTGCATTCTTGCAATTGCGTAAATAAGTGCTATCCACGGGGTAAAAATGACTGACCTTGCCAACGACTGCAAGCTTAAATTGATAGAGCCCTTGAGGGAGCTAAGGACAAGGCGCGAGAATTTGGCCGGCAACTTGGATCCACGACGACCTTGTCGTGCGTAAGCCATTCTCGGGGGGTCATTGCGATCAGAATTATTGGAGAGGTGACCCCTGAGCGTGTCGCCATCGCCAGGAAGGCTAATCATACCTTCATCTCTATGATCAAGGAAGCGGGCATCTATAACGAGGTAATGTCTCGCGGCTGTATGAATTTTTGAATCACTACTAACTCTAGGTTTTAGATATCTCAAGCCTACGCTGACCTCGACACAAACATTTGTACGTGTTCTGAAATCCGTTTGCTTGGAGCTATTCATGAATACCGTCATTCGGACGTCCAGAAAAGGATCCCTACAGAGTTGGCTCTATTTATGGCCTGTAGTGACTATTTCCGACATGACAGAGTGAGGCTCCTGTTTGTTGTGTTCTTGATTGTGTCCTTGTCAAGGAGTTCCTGCAAGCAGAGAGAACGGGAGAAAGAGAAGTTTGATTAGAGGTCACATCATGGTCAAACCGCAAGGCAACCTAGCTCACTTGGCATGACAGCAGCTATAAAGTTGATATCTGGGTCTACTACTCTCCCACCGACTTGGATGTCGAATTCTATGTGTTTTTCTTGCAGTCTACCGTATTCTTGGTCATCTCATCTTGTCCCCCTTCTCTAGTTCATGATGTCAAATATGCAGACGGGTGGAAATCAATACATGTTTGAACAAGATAATGTAGGCAGGCAAGTTTCTGGTCAATCTGGTTACAAGAGAGTAGAAAAGTTGGGGAATTGAAAAAAATGGCCGCGTGGCTATAATTACGCAGTAGAGAGCGTCCACCCACCTGGTTAATTAAGAGTTGCAACGCAGCATACGGGTAGTATTCCTTTGCACTTCTAATTCTTGAACAAGATCTTGATCATAATACCCGCACAGGGGGCAGGTTAATAGGTTAGTTAACCAATAGGAACCGTGCCCCTGCCAGCTTCCTGTCGGTCTACGGCACAGTATCAACGTAACAGTGAACTTGCGGGCCGAAAATGTTCTGTTGGCTGTACTTCAGAAACATCAGCCACCTCATCCCCTCGACCATCCGCAGTTCCACTCCGCCCAATTTGTCTCCCAACCACCGTACTTGGCTCGCTGTCAGGGATCTTAGTCAGGTACATGGGGAAACGGTCAGACTGCGCGGCTAGGTTTCTACCACCAGGAGGAATAGACAGACCCCTGTGCCCGGGTCATCTTGTGAGACACCGCAAGGCGGGTTAGTTGGTAAGGTGGGTGGTTTTTGGTTGGTAAATAGTAATTATGACATACAAGCACCGATTGACACTCATATTCCTGTTTCCGTCGCAGGGTGTCTTACCTTCTTTTCCCCTTTTTCGTCTCGACAAAATGTATAGATATCCATTTCCATGACTACTTTGGTGCTTTGGGACCTAGCTTGATGGCTTACCTCCATGTATTCCCAAGACGACGAGTTATCGGCGTGTTATTGTTTCTCGTTGCCGTGACATGCATCGTAATCTTCCTTCGAACCGAGCATGGCGCCTACCTACTCAAATATGCGAACGACACCATCAGACCTACTACCTCCACCAAGCCACCCCACCCTCGATACAAGCCGACTCCGACGTATACGCCCGCCCCAATCACCGACCCCTTCCCGCTCCTCGCGACATCCACCCCGCCTCCCGTGCCGAGATGGAACCAGCCGCGTGAGAACCTCCACAGGGACTACGGCCTCCCCGTGGCTCCGCCGCTCCTGATCGGCTTCACGCGCAGCTGGCCCCTCCTGTTGCAGGCCGTGGTCAGCTACATCACAGCCGGCTGGCCGCCGTCGCAGATCTTCGTGGTCGAGAACACGGGCGTGCACGGCGCCAACGCCGACGGGAAGCTGACCCTGCAGAACCCCTTCTTCCTCGACCACCGGGCCCTGCGCTCGCTCGGCATCAACGTGGTCCGCACCCCCGTACTGCTGAGCTTCGCCCAGCTGCAGAACTTCTTCCTCTCCCTGTCGTACGAGCGCGGCTGGCCGTACTACTTCTGGTCGCATATGGACGTCCTGGTCCTGTCCTACGAAGATGGCTTCGACGGCGCCATGCCGCCGTACCACGACCCGGGCTACAAGACGGTGTACGAGCTCTGCTGCTCCGCCCTCGCCGAGGCGCGCCGCATCGGAGGGGAAGGTGAAGATGGCGAGGGCCGCCCCCGCTGGGGCCTGCGGTTCTTCTCCTACGACCACCTCGCCCTGGTGAATCCGGCTGCGTACGAGGACGTCGGAGGCTGGGATACGCTGATCCCCTACTACTATACCGACTGCGACATGCATAGCCGCCTGAACATGGCCCGCTGGTCCATGGAGAACCAGCGCGCCGGCATCGTGGTTGACGTCAGCACTGTCCTGAGCGACTTGCTGGTGCTATACAGGGTGCCGGGGATATCGCCATCCTTTACAGATCCAAATCCGCCTCCGCCAGTAAAACGGGCAGCCAATGACAGCGGAGAGATGAGCAGTGGGCAAGGCGATGTTGCCGCTAGTGCCGAGGCCAAGGACGGTGGTGGAAAGGGGGAGGAGGACGAAAATCTCAAGTCCTGGCGCGCGATACTCCACACATCCGACGCCATGTTCCACTACAAGAACGGCCCACGGGGAAGGAACATGTGGCAGACGGCCCAGCATGGCGGCCAGGGGGAGGCCTTCCACTACGACGCGGCGGGGTTCGCGGAAGGGGTCGAGGTCATCACCGAGGCCGGGAAGGAGGTCTATCGCCGAAAATGGGGTCACCGAGGCTGCGATCTGATCACCGGCGCGGGGCTTAATATCAGCGACCAGTGGCAGGTGAAAAAGGATTGGAGATGAGAAAGGCAGCTGGTCGAATTGCTATTTAAATACACCGCTTGAGGGGACACGGGAGGTAGGTAACCCGGCCGAGGACCTTTCATTGCTGTTGTGATACGTAACCTAGACTTTATAGAGTAGGATCTGGTTCCGAGGATCGGAACATCCGAATAATACGCCTTCTCCCACCAGGCGCCCCTTGACGATTCACTGATTATCATCTCGTTGCGTGAATCGACTCCGAGGAACTCAAGTTCCCATGACGTCTTTCTGATAAGCTCTTCGTCATGCCAAACCCACCCAATTAGCGTGCAGTACTCTTGTCAAAAGGGCAAGTCGTTATGCCGTAATAAGATCTAAAACATGAGGTCTTCTAAAACATATCTAGTTTTTCTGGAATCCCGTCTTTCCAGAGCAATCCATTGATGGCGTTTGATGCTGCTATGTTTGCTTTAGCGCTGGGAGAGAATTTCTAGTTGCGATTTTGAAAATAGTTAAATTGTATTTTTCTAGACTTCAAGACTTGTCCTCTAGGGGTTAAGACTCAGAATAATTCATTGTCTTTGAGAAGGAAGGTTGTCCATCGAGAGAGGAGGTGTTGAGTATGACTTACACATGGAATATCGGTCCGCCAAAAAGTTTCGGCCCGCCAGCGAGCTGGATTAGATAATATCGCTTTAGGCGGTACGGGCCGTGATGCAGCACTGGCAGAACTTTCTTCGAGTCCATCGAGCCTGGAATTCCTATCTAACTCGGCCGCCCCCATTTCCCCGCCCCCTTAACTTTTCCCCCACACCGGCGGCACCGGGCATGGTCGAGGAGGAAGCTCAGATGGCTTCGCTCTATGCAGCCAAGCAGCAGCTGCGGTCTGCCATGAAGCAGAGGCTGGGGGCCATCTCGCATGAGTCCGTCATGTCACAGAGTACGACCTGCATCTTCCCGGCCCGCGAGTTGGGAAGCACATTAAGCGCTAAGCCGCGGATCTAGGCTCGGTCGTCTTCAACAAGCTACAGTCGTTCAAGCCGTATAGAGATGCCAGCCGAGTCAGCATCTTCCTGTCGATGCCCAGCGGGGAGATCCAGACTGATGCAATTGTCCGCCACGCTATTGAATCCGGGAAGGAGGTCTTCATTCCTTACCTTCACAGGAATCCGCTGTCATCCCCAGGCCTTCCGGCCCGGGTCATGGACATGGTCCGCCTGCGAGATATCAAGGATTACGAGGCTCTGGCACGAGACAAATGGGGCATCCCAAGTGTTGATCCCGCCACGGTTCACGAGAGACAGAGGGTGCCTGGGGGGCCAGATGCTCATCACTCTGACCAGATCCTGCTCGATCTCATTCTTATGCCGGGTGTGGCTTTCGACATCAGCCCGGACACCGGAGCGATCAGGAGACTCGGGCATGGAAAGGGCTTCTATGATTACTTCATCGACAGGCACAAGAGCAAGGCTGCTTCTATGGGACAGCCGGAATCTTCTGTGTTGCTCTACGCTTTAGCTCTGTCCGAGCAATTCCTGACGTCTCCTTCCCAAGGTTCGGTACCAGTTGGGTCGCTTGATCAGCCCCTAGACGGCCTGATCCTCGGCAATGGAGATATCAAATTGCCTCGTCGAGATAAATAGACTGGATCCGCACACTTGCGACCACCCCCTACGTGTGGATTGATTCCCGCCACCAAATTGCTGTGCCTGTCTGTAAGTAAAATCTGGTGAGGAAAGAACGTTCTTCCCATTTCAGGTGGCCTGGAAACGGCAGGGTCAAAGTTGTCACCCCCCTGTATTCGTATATCCCCTTTTAAAATGGGTCACGTGGACGGGATTTATCAGTGGTCTGTACCCAGGTACCGCGCTTTATTAGAGAAGGGCAAATAATTATCCGGTATCGGTCACGTCAAGGTTCGAACCTAGCTTAGCCACAGCAACCATCTCGGCGGGGCTGTCCTTGCCTAACGGTTTATTTTCTTTGATGAGCATAACGAAACCACTTTACCTGACTGAAACTTCTTATCTTCTCCCCCATTCCCTCTTATTCTTCACCTCTCCCTCAGCAGATATACTTCTCATATTAGCAGTGTGCCTTGCCCGCGAGTAATCCCCTCTCCCACCAGCAAAGTTAACTCGCGGATCACAGCACCAGTCTGTCAAGGCGCCCGCCCCCTCGTCGTATGTAGCCGGAGCTGTCCCGGACAACCACAAGTCACCGACCGTGTTATCCAGTATCGCCCCGCGCTTTGGCAACCCTTGATCCGGTCATCATGGCATCCAATGGCGCAGTAGCTGTCGCCACGCCGGATGCAGTCCTGGCAGCAATGCTGACTATGCGCGGCGGGGATGCGGACAAGAAGAAGGCAGCAATGGACTACCTCTCCAAGTTCCAGAAGTCGGTCAGTAATCTCTCTGTACTCTCCCTATTCTATCTCAGCTTGGCTATCTATCTCATGGGCGATCCGTACTCACATTTTTCACAGACAGATGCTTGGACCACAACCATAGCGATCCTGCAGTCCCCCGCCGAAGCTGATGCGCAACTATTTGCGGCGACAACGTTAAAGGGAAAGGTATGCTTGGAAGGAAGAAGTTAGTACCGGTACAATGCTGAGACGCCCGGGTAGATTACCTATGACCTATCGACTCAGGTCCCCGAGAGCGACTTGCCCGCCCTACGAGATCAGATCTTGCTGCTCCTCAGGCACTTTGCGTCGGGTCCCAAGCCTGTGAGGGTCCAGCTTTGCGTATGCCTGGCGATATTGGCCATCCAGATGAGGAGTTGGAAGGATGTCCTGCAGACAGTTGTGGCCTCCCTTGGTTCCGACGTCCAGAGCCACGCATGCATCCTGGATTTCCTACGAGTGCTGCCCGAAGAGGTCACGGAAGGCCGAAAAATCACCTTGTCTGTATGTGGATCGCGACATGACACCGGCCTCGCCGTTCTCTCCACCGATGTGCCGCTTTGGTGGGGTCAGCCTGGAATCAGAGTCTAATTCGGTCATGACAGGAAGAAGAACTTGCCCAGAGGACAAGCGAGTTGCTGGCAGACAACGCGGACCAGGTAGTTCAACTACTCATCGACTATGCCCAGTCATCAGGTAAGAGCTGTTGGTACCTGGCCCTGGTCTTGACAAATTGCTAATTTCTGGATTCAGCGGCTGCTGCTACGAACCCTCAGCTCTTCGAGTGCATCACCTCGTGGCTCCGCGAGGTGCCTGTCAGCACCATCGCTGCATCTCCACTCCTGAATGTCGTCGTAAATGGTCTGGCCCATGACCAGTCACTCGAGTCAGCGGCTGAATGCTTAGGGACCATTTGTCGCGAGACGCGGGACGTGGATGATAATCTTGAGACGATCAAAATCCTCCTACCGCGTGTCATCGAGCTGCAGCCACGCATCCAGAAGGTCGCTGAGGACGAGGATACCGAGGCTTTCAAAGCCTTCACCAGAGTATTTGCCGATGCGGGTGACTCGTGGGCTGTGCTTATTGCTCGCGAGCCCACACACTTCCGACCCCTCGTCGATGCCCTTCTGGAGTGCGCCGCGAGGGACAAGGACCGCGACGTGATCGAATACACCTTTAATTTCTGGTACGAGCTGAAGCAGTATCTTACTCTGGAGCGGTATATCCACGCAAGAGTGGAGCTCCTTGATGTCTATTCGAAACTCGTCGACATCCTCCTTAAGCACCTGGAGTATCCCCAATCCGAGTCTAATAACGAGCTCGACCTGTTTGACGGCGACCGCGAGCAAGAGGAAAAGTTCCGGGAGTTCCGCCACCACATGGGCGACACTTTGAAGGATGCTTGCGAGGTCATGGGTGTGACGGAGTGCCTGACGAAGGTGCTCGACGCAATCAAATTATGGATGCAGAAACACGGCGGCCAAGCGACGCATACTTCCGTGCCGCAGTGGCAATCGCTCGAGGCACCTCTATTTTCCATGCGCGCCATGGGTCGGATGGTCGACAAAGAGGAGAATGCCGTCCTTCCTCAGATCATGCCCCTGTTGGTCCAGATCCCCAGCCACGAGAAGTTGCGGTTCGCCGCCATCATGGTCTTCGGCCGCTACACCGAGTGGACGGCAGCACATCCCGAGTTCCTCGAGCCCCAGTTCACTTACATCGTTTCATCATTCCAAACCGAGTCCCCCGAGATCATTCGCGGTGCTGCGCAATCCATCAAGTTTTTCTGTACCGACTGCAAGCATCTGCTAGGCGACCAAGTTCTCCAGCTTCAGATTTTCTACGATCAGATTCTCGACAAGCTCCCAGAGCCCAGCCAGGAAGAGATCACCGAGGGCGTCGCCAATGTGGTTGGAGTTCAGAAGCCCGAGGACATTTACAAGCTCCTCAAACTTTACTGTGACCCTCTCGTTTCGAGGCTCATGGTCAAGGCCAACAATGCAACGGATAAGGAAGGCAAATTGGCAGTGGCTGGTAAGTGGTCCATATACCTACCACACGCGCGTTCCCGGCGTCGAACTGACATTGTATTCTCTTGCAGACCACCTTGAATTGATCAAGATATTCATCCAATACGTCAACCCCTATATCCAGGAGGGCCAAGAGAATCCGGCCGTCAAGTATTGGCAGGAAGTGTTCCCCGTTCTCTCCACGGTCCTGGATAACTTTATCGACTTTGTCCCGATTTGCGAGAGGGTCTGCAGATGCTTCCGGTTTATTGTTCTCGCCTACCGGACAGCCATGATCCCCCTTCTAGCACCCATGGCCAACAAGCTGGCCGAGAGCTTTGCAGCGTCCAAACAAGGCTGCTTCCTTTGGGTGACTAGTGCGATCCTGCGCGAGTTTTCCGAGGACCGTGAGCACGTGGACGAGAGCATTTCGGAGAACATCTACGCCTTCTTCGAGGCCCAGGCCACAAATGTCCTTCGGGTTATGAGCGACCTCCCCCCTGCCGAGCTTCCCGATGTCATTGAGGATTTCTTCCGCCTCCTCCTCGATGCATTGCTCTACTACCCCCAGAAGCTGGCCCCATCCCCACTCTTCGTCCCCATATTCCAGGCTGCCATCTCCGCCCTGACTCTAGAGCAGCGGGATCCGCTGTCGGTCGTCCTACACTACATTAGGGATGTCCTCACCTACGGCGGTGAGAACCCGGCCGCATCGGGTGTGCAGCTTGGCCCTGCCGGAGAGCACGTTCAACACGTCGTTAAGCAGTTGCTACTCTCCCACGGAGAGGCCTTGGTCAAGCAGACCATGGCTGGAATGATGATCACATTCCCGCGCGACTGCTTTGCGGACGGTAGTGGCGTCCTGCTCGGCATGTTCGAGCTTCTTCCTACGCAGACAACTGAGTGGGTTGATCGGACCATCCATCTCCTTCCCCCGGGGACCGTGAGCCCCGTCGAGTCGAACAGACTCATGGTGAAGATTAAGGAGAAGCTTGTTACTTCCGACCCAAGTACCCTTAGAGGGGTGCGCGTTCTCCTTCAAGACTTCACCAATACTTATCGACGGCGGTATGTTGCCCCGAGAGACGGCCTGGGTGAACTGGAGGCGACACGATTCCACTTCGAAGGCTAGAGTGATGGTGTGAGATCTTAGGCCCGTGGGAGACTTTTCAAGGCATGGGTACACGGGTGGGAATACTTGGTCACCGAAGACTCCAAACGCCAGAGGCCACAGCAATACCATTCTAGGCCTACAGAAAGGCGCGGCACCGACGCATTTGCTAAAATGGCACGACTGGGTTGACGACGGAGAGAACATAGAGCGATGTGAGGGACTCCGTTGCGCCGGGAAAAAGGGGGGCGGGGGCGGGGGTCCACATCAACAAAATCAGTAATAAATGCATATGACGAGAGGGAACGGCATTGCGCGGCTAGTGGGAAGCTCTTTACTTTGACCTGGTGGCTGGAGGACGTGTAGATACAGGGAATAGGAAATGGGAGTGGTTGCAAGGCCGTCCGTCTGTGAGACGTGAGCAAGGTGGAGGGGCAGTCCGATGACGGGTCCTCCTTTCCCGCTTCGTGTCCGGGATGGAGGGATACTCGACAGCTATTTTGACGCAGAATCGAGGCTAACAGCCCTTTTGGACTGATATCTTGACTTGATTTTGACTGTTGCCGCTTAATTGTCTCTTCCGAGGATGATCGCTAGGCCCCTCGATCACCGGGATTAAACTGGACGTCATCCTCATTCCGAGTGAGAGATCCATTACTCCCAGGGTGTAGGATAATTTGGGGGAGAGCTCCTGGGATTCCACAATGCTGCTGCTGCCATCCATACCGTTTTCTAGAAACATGGAACGCAGGAATAGTTTATGTCCCAATTGATGTAGAAGTTCTATGTATAGACGGATACAGACTCCTGAAAATGGTATCATGACGATGCGATCCAAGTAATCACTAATGCCGCTGGATTGAGACAAAGCATAACGCAAACCCTGCCAAAGCACAAACGCCCACCCCCCTCTCTTGAAAAAAAGACATTTTTCATCCCCCTCACGACGACGACGAGGACGGGGCCACCCACTCGCCAAGCCACCTCTCCATGACGGCGATCTGGTCGGGCAGGACGGACAGCTCCTCGGGGACGTCGTTGATGACCAGCTCGGGCGCGTGCATCCCGTTCCTGATGACCAACACGGGCGCGTCGCCGTCGCCGGTCGAGTTGCGCGGCCCGCCGGGCCGGCGGCGGGCGCTGACGGTGGCCTCGATCCAGGGGTCGAACTCGCCGTTGACGAAGAGCACGCGCCGGAAGTCGGCGTCCCAGCCGCCGCCCGTGTACAGGTTCAGGTGCGCCGGCGTGAACCCCCGCGTGATGCCGGGAACGAAGCCGTTGGTCTCGGGGAACTGCAGCGGGCAGGTGCGCTCGTAGTGGTCCGGGCGGAGGAACGACGACACCACGTGCTGCTGCTGGCCGTCGGCCCCGGGCGCGGGGGGGCCGACTTGCCACCACCCGAAGGGGTTGTGGCAGAGCATCCACTGCCACTGCCGGTCGCCGTCGAGGTACGTCGGCTGGTCCCAGTCGATGGCGTCCGAGTAGGTGTCGCACTCGCCCGTCTGAGAGCATCGCGCCGCGACGGTCCGGTTGATGTACGCCGCGTAGGCGGGCAGGGCCAGCTCGAGCCCCACGCCGGCCGCGCTGGTGGTGCTGCCGCCAGAGGTCTCGATCTCGTCGCAAAACTCGAAGACGGCATCCGGGTCGTTCTGCCACGCGCCCATCGGGTCCGCGACGCCGGCGGCGAAGTCGTCGTGGTGGTCGAGGTGGCCGAGCCCGAACATGTCCTTGAGCTCGAGGATGGCGGCGTCATCGTCGTCGTCGTCGGCGGCGGCGGCGAGCACGGCATCGACGTGCGCGACGACGGCCCTGACGTCGGCGCTGCAGTTGCGCGGGATGGCGCGCTCGACGGCGTCGAAGTAGGCGTGGAAGTCCCCGATGGCCTGCACCACGGCCGAGCTGGCGTGGTACGCCCAGAACACGCCCGGGTCGATGATGGACGTCCACGCCGCCAGCGCGCCCGAGTAGCTGCCGCCGACCAGGATCCACGGGGACGCGGGCGCGTTGGCGCCGCCGTTGGAGTCGTCGAACTCAAGCGGCACGTGGGTCGCAAAGTAGGTCATGTCGAAGATGGACTGCGGGAGGTCGAGGTATTGCAGAGTCTCGGCCGTCAGCTCGGCGAAGGGGATCGATTTGCCCCAGTATCTGTCTGTTGGGTGGGCGTCAGCGAAGCCGTGCTGGGAACACCGGGGACTTTTCGTGCGGGATACAAACGTTCGATGAGAATCACTGCTCCGCCAAACTCTTTTGCGTAGCGGCCCGTGATTGTGCCATCCTCGAGGTACCCCTTATATCCGTCGGCGGCCGTCTCTCCGGGGTTCATGAGGAAGATGGGAGAGCCGGGGCCTCCCCACTCCGAGGCATCCCACCAATATCTCTGCTTGAATGTGCCCTTGCCAGGGTCGTTGTGGTCTAGGAGTTGGTCGAATGTGCCATTTTTGACCAGATCAGGGTCGGAATGGGTCTGTTGCTTGATGCCCCTCGGCCTCCCGTGCAAGGCTCCCCCACCAAGAAGCTGCGATACAGATGGCACTGCCTGGGCAAGGAGCCCGGCCGCTACGGCCAGGAGTGAAGCCTTCATATGGGGTGGCCTGGGTATCGAAAGTACGAAAGAAAGGGGACGCACAACCAACGATGCAGTGCTCGAGTAAAGAAAACGGATGAAGACAGCGATGCTAAAACAACGATACTGAAAACCGGGAAAGCCATTTTGACTTTATATACTAACTTACGATTCGGCCAGAGCGGCCGCAATACCTCTCCGGCAGTCAGCAGCACGAACGTTCATCAAGCTCAGCCTCCGCGAAGGATCGCCCGGCGCGTCGGGGGCTTTGAGAAGGATTTTGCCCCGAAGCAGGAAAGCGTGTAGGGGACAACAGGGCTCCCTGGCAACCCGGAACCAGGAAGTCGCCTTGCTGCCGTCTGAGATTCATTGGATTCTCCATCGTCTTGGAGGCTCTTGGCACCTCACGGAGCCCCTGTCTGCTGCGCTTACCCTCCGTTGCAAACTGGCAAAGGCGGACACTAGGCTGGGGTTGGAAATGCGGCGTGGAAGGCTGCGGCTGGGGCCCTAATCCTCCAATCAGAATGGGGGAAACCCTGCGCCTACTTTGTATAGATGGAGATCGACAAACCAGGTTGCTGGATCTTCAAGGCAGGGGGGGCGGCCGCTGGAACCCGGGATTCGAAGCAATACTACTATTTTTACCACTAACAAGGCAACCAAGCCTCCAACCGTTTGCACTAATGGGCCTGCAACTTCATGAGTGCCCAGGACAAAGCCTGCTGTTTTTGTTTTGACCTGGCATTCTGTACGTAGTTCTACGGGCCCATACAGCGAGCGGGCTGACCTCGCTGTCGTCAGGCCATACCCCTTGCGAAGCCGCCAGCGTATGTGATTTTGAGCCCCTTTGCAATCTAGGCACCCTATTAACCTGGCCTGCCTGTATTCGCATGTTATCTCCAGCTCACTGCGCATTTCTGATGCGAACACCATCTTGAAGGCCCACCAGATCTGGATCGACGGTGAGTAGTAGAACTCGGCGATTTCGCGATCAGACACCACCAATGCCCAAGAACAAAACAAGCCTGCGTATTTCTCAGAGGCGACTGACTGTCTCTGCGGCTCACATCGTTCGGACCGGCGCATACATTGATGAAGATCATCTTCCGTCCCCCTCTCTCTTGACGGAACCTGATTTCCGTACCATGCAACCCCCCTCCAGGAAAGAAAAGACGAAGATCGGAAACATTTCATTGGGCACGTACATACATAGTCTTCGCAAACCGCTCGCTTTCTTGAGAATGCTTTCGTCTGCCCAACCTCAACGCCCACCACCCCTTACCCGCAGTCTCTCCCACATGAGAGGAATGAAGGGTGAGAAGAGAACACTGAGAGTCGGCAAAATAGATTCGTCTAAAGATGCAGCAAAATAAAATAAAATAGAAGAGAAATTCTTCATAGAAAAAAAGACATGTCGCCTTTTTGGTATCACCAAACGCATACCGAGACGCAAGATAGAAGCACATGGCATACTCTCCCTCCGATGACTGTCCGAACATGAATCACCTCCCCTTCCAAAATAATAATAATAATAATAATAATAATAATGATGCAAAATCAATCATACGACCCGATCTGCTGAATGATGCCGACCTCGGGGATCGCGGGCCAGAATGCGCCTTGCGCGTCCAGGTACATGTCCGGCGAGTCGCTTCCGTGCGCGAGCGTGTCGGGCCCGCCGGGGACGAAGTTCCAGCTCGCGTGCTCGGTGCTGTTGAGGTAGTTGATGAAGTCGGGCCCCCCGTTCGCGTACGGCGGTATGCTCGCGAGGCTCCCGATCGTCCTCTGGCTCATTTGCGGGCTGGTGATGTACGGCGACTGCGTCGGCGACTGAAGTAGCTGTTGCTGTTGCTGCTGCTGCTGCTGCTGCTGCTGCTGGTGGTGAGAGGCGCCAGGGTAGTTGCGCCAGCCGCCATCGCCAGCAAGGAGGCCGTCGACCCTGGGTTCCAGCTGTCCTAGGGGAGACGGGGCGGCGCCCTCGTACTGGGTCGACGACGACGGCACACTGCTGCTGTTGATGGCCGTGAAGGTCGAGGCCGACATGGCGGATCTCGGCGTGCGCCCACGCTCAAGCCGGTCCGCACTCGCCGAGCTGTGGCCCTCGGGACCATACGAGGACCCGCGCTCGGCCGTGCTGTCCGGAGAGGGGTTATCCGAGCCGTCGTGCTTCTCGTCGTGCTCCAGGATGGCCCCGTTGTTGATGATCTTCGACCCTTGCACTTTCCACTCCTCTAGGCCCCCGCCTTCGCCCCCGTGAATGATGCTGAGCTTCCCATCCCCGCCATTCCCAACGACCGACCTGCTCTGCCTGTCGTACTTTGAGAACTCCTGCCTCACCCTGTGGTAGTAGTGATCCATCTCGTGGAAGTATCTGACGTACGACCCCGCCAACTTCAGCTGTTGCGACATGCGGGCGAGGGTCTGGTATGTCGTGGATATCGGCGTCGCCTCGCTCCCCTCCGGCGCAACATCTATCAGCGCACCGGGCTCCCTGCCGTCCTTGTCCCCGGGACCGAGCATGTAGCCCTTGGTGTCCATGTGCGGGAAGTGGAACGCATAGATGCCGACGAATGCCGCCGTCCAGATGGCGAATAACGCGAGCGACGACATTGGCACGTTGCCCTCGCAGAGGCGTATGACTTCGACGATATTCTTGGCTGCGCGGAAGATCTGCTCCGCGCTCTCCTCCCAAAACCCGTCGGGCACATTGAAACGCGGGCTGGTGAAGGTCGGCTCATCCAGCGGCCCGATGGGGCCCTTGCACCTGATGGGGATGAAAGGGATGTATTCGCGGTGCAGCATGATCTGGCAGACGGAGCCAAGCATATGCAGCGACACGAAGATGCTTCCGCTCGAGTTGCCCCCGTGCCGGTGGAAGTTGGTCACCGACCACTGGTAGACCTCGGGGAGGTCCGTGTAGAAGCCCTCGAGTTCCTCGCGGAGCTGCCTGAACTTGGCGTCCTCGTGCCATGGAGGTATGTCGCACTTCTCGCTCAGCCGGCCACCCGCGAACGTAAATTTGGAGATCTCACCCCAGATGTCGACCAGGCGTATGAAGCACCCGAGCACGCTGTCAGTCCTGTTCGGTCTCGACCTCCCCTCGTCGTCCTCGTCTTTGAGGAACCTGTGGGTCACCTCCGTCGAGTAATCAAAATCGAACTCGGCGCAGGGCAGCCTGATCTGCAGGTCTTCAGAGCGGATGGTCGACACGCGGTCCTTCCCGCAGGAGAGCATCCGGTCAAGAATGAGACAACTAAACATGGTCCGGCGCCTGACCTCCTTCGTCACTATCATCTGCGTTGGGGAGACCGAGGTCTTGGGCGGCAGGCTCAAGGTACGAGGTCTGTGGATCTGTGCCGGGTCGCGCTTGTCTCCGAAGCCGAGGCGTAGGGCCTGAGCCATCCGAATGGCGAGACCGACGTACATCCACGCACCGAGCCCCCCGGTCTTCGGTTTTGACTGGATCCATTCGTATAGACCTAGCATGAGGAAAGCTTGCACACGCTCTACAGAGGCGACAGTCATGCACATGCTCAGGGGCCCGAGTGCTGTGATGAGGGCCTCGGCAAAGTACTCGGACGCAGCCGACGAGTCCGGGCTGAGTTGCACCGGCCTTGTCTTGGCGCTCCCCGGGAGCGGCGACCGCGTGTTCGCGACGTATTGCACCAGGCTAGGCTCGAAGCGGGCAGTCAACGTCAGAACGCCCAGCAAGACGAGGTTTGTCTCGTGGGACCAATCCGCCTGCGATCCCTCGCATTTCCTGCCAATCTTTTCCTTGAGAGTCGGCAGGTGGAGGAACGGGAGCTCGGTCAGAAAGTGGCGGGTGTAAATGGCGAAGAGCTTGTGCCATAGGCTAGGGGTCAGGTAGTGAGCCGACAGGACATCTTCGGCAACCGCAGCAGGATAGTGCGGGTCCGGCCGCGAGGCATCGTCATGCCTCCTTGGCCTCTTGCGTTCCGATCCGCCCTGCTGGTCAGGCCTAGCCGTACCCGGCGGCTCATGGCGTTTGGGGGCGACGGAGGTCTGATCTGGATAGCGGCAATCCTTGCCGGTCTTAATGCACGTGTCGCAGGGACCTGTCGGCCCACGGTTATCGCACTTGATCTTGGACTTCCTGCAGCGTAGACAGGCTATGCTGGATCGCAGAGGGCCGCGCTTCGCCTTCCTATCATCTGTGCCCACCATCATCGCAGCAACCCCACCGAAACCGGTGTCATCCTCGGCGGGCTGACCCGAGGCGCGTATCGCGATGCCGCTGCCGGTAGCTGTCGGTGGCGGCGGCGCACTGCTAGGGAGCGGCTGCCTCGCGATCGTGGGTTCCCGGACCGACAGTTGTGCAGACGAGGTCGTCGTCGTCTGTGGATTGGGCAGCAGGTCGCCGGTTCTCGCCGCCGGGACGAAGGCGTCTCCAAACTTGCGCTTCGGGGTACTGTGGAAGGAAGACGAATTGGTAGTTTCATCACCGTCCGGCGGATCGGAAGGGGAGAGGATGGACTCGATGCGGAGTGGAGAAGGAATCGTGACGGCTGTCGGGTCGCTTGCGGACCCGTTGCTCCCAGAAGGCAGAAGCAGAGGCGCCAGTATGCGAAGCTGAGGCACGAAAGAAGCGAAGGCTTCACTTGGAAACCCCGCAGTGCAAGTTCCGAGCGCGCAATCCGCTGGAAGAGGGGGGTGTTGGGAATCGGCGCAAGTAGAGGAGGAGGGGGGATTCCAGCGCTTTCCTTTTCTGCCTGTGGTGGCGCGCGGCGGTCCGGACTCGTTAAATAGAGGCAAGAGGTGGGGGGGCAATCTTCAGCAGCGTTGCGATGCGAGACCACGAGACTGATGGAGCTTGAGGGAAAGGGCAATCCGAATGGACGAGGGCAGGAGAAGCGGATGTTTGCACCGTGTGTCACAAGCATCCACAAGACATGCACGTAGCCGCGAGCGTCCGGGCACGCAGTTGGTTGACTGGATGCGAAGGCGAATGGGCCGGTCTCTACTCAGCGATGGTGCGCGGTGCGTGGGAGCGAACAAGTCGTCAGGCCGGTCTGGCGAGGTGTCGTGTGGTGTCGTGTGGTTTGAAGGCTGCAGAGAGATGTTTGACAGCATCCAGAGAGTCCAGTGTCCAGTGTCCAGTGTGCAGATGAGCAGCAGCTGGGGCTCGTGGCGGTATTATCGGTCCGGTCTTCTGGCGTGGGGACGGGAAGGATTTAGCACACAACGATGGACAACCTTGGCAAGCGCGGGCGACTCGACGCAAGGATCGAAGATTTGAAGGTTGGCTGCGTTTACGGGGAAATAGGTCCAGGGTACGCGGAGCCAATGCTGATCTGGCCCGCTTCACCGGGTATAAGCTACTCGCATTCAGCTCGAGGTCACCATCCATAGATCCTACCATTAGCTTGCCAAGCACACTATGGCTGCCCCCAGATGGGGAGTGGGGACCCAGAGCAAACGAAACGACTGCGAAGGATCGTGGGCACACAACCTAGGGAATTAGATATACACTACCTATACACTACGGTATAGTCAGATAATATGTGGTATATCTGGCAAATGCAGCTAGACGTTTATAAGGGGTATCCGTATCTCGAATTCGTCTCAACTCTCAAGACCCCTTTTTACTGTGTATCCATCCTCTCCTGGGTCAACCCGCGCACCTCAGGTGAAAAGGGGGTACCTAGCTAGTGCCAGTCAATGTGTGGCTTGCATGGAACCCAAGTTCGTCAGTACGCGTATTGCGATATCTGGCGACCCACCTTTCCGCCTTTGCAAACATCGACTGAAAAAGGGCTGGGGAAACGTCCTAATTGGGACAGCAATCTGGAGCAGCAGAGAAGCTCGATCCTCAAGACAGTCAGTCGCCCAGTGGAGGAGATCCTTGCCCACAAGTGGTCGAGTCTCCGGGAAGATTAAGGTACTTCAACATCTGGCATCAAGACGGTTTATAAGAATCAGATGCATAGCATACATATAAGCAGATGAAAAAAAGTAGTTCCCAGTTAGTGCTTGTAGGCCCCCGTCTGCCACAAACGGCTGAAATTGGGGAACCCCCACTCCGTTGGCCATTGCTTCTTTGGCTTAGAGTGACCCTTCACACTTCTCACAGGCTGGAGCTGTGGCGTCAATTGAAGACCGGCACCCAGTCTATCTATCTCTTACCTCGTACATACCTCCTCCTACTTGGCCCCGCCGAATTCACGCCCCGTGGCAAGACCTGGGCTCATGTGCTGCGGTGCAGTTCCTGATAGAGCCCGAAGGACCAGCCTTTGGGAGTCCGGCCTCGACCACGTAGTCATGGCCTGCTTCCTGCCGTGCAACTTGGTGAGACAGAAGGCCGTCCGGACGCGGAAGGTCCTGTCGCTCTTGGAAGAGAGCCTCTTCCCCAGTCTCGCCTCGCGTCAGTTTTCTGTCTTGTGCTACTGAATAATACAGAGTGTGCATTGCCGGAAACCGGAAACTTGGCAGCGTTGGCCGATCACGGCAAGAGAGAAATTAGAGTCTTAATGAGACCATCGCATCGCAGCACCGATTGCGCTCAGATGAAGACGCCCCGTGCATTTGGACGTGGGTTATGTCCCATAGACGGTCGACAGACTGCCTGGAGAGTTGGACTGTTCATATGAAGCAAGTAAGCCCAGGTAGGAATCCGTACCTAGCTTGAAATGGTGGTTGTTGGCGAGGCCATTCGGATAGGTATGGGTAGGGACTGATCACATGACCTGAACAGGGGGTTTGGGTTGGCGCCACGCGAGGCGGCGAGTGTGCTTCTATTATATCTGCGATGGGTGCCGCATTCCGTGCTCCCTAAATCGATAAGAACGCGCCTGTTGGTTGGGAAAGTGATGGTGACGAAGTACACCAAAGGACCTTCTCACAAATGGTCTACACGAGATGGCAGAGGCGGGGTCGTAGACCAGCGCGTCGATACCTAGCGGTCAAGGATCGCACGTTTGGAGGGGTGTTTGGAGGGGTGTTTGGAGGGGTGGCGGAAAGTTCCAGGAGATGAGACATCCAATGACGTCGCTTCTGTGACGGGTGGGCTCGCGAGGCCTCTCGTTGCTTTTGCTCCGCATTGGTTGCAAGCTTTAAGCGCCAACAATCGTCGTTGAGGGTTCCCATTGGCTTCCTTTTGCTAATTTTGGCAACTAGACGACTATTTCCCATGTCGAATCTGTCGCATCTTGCTTCTCGCGCGCCAGATGTAGCCGCTCTATCTCGCAGTGTCTGATATCTTGAGACGCCACATCCATACCCCTCCTCTTCGCGCCGCTGTGCCCCCCTAATTTTACTTTCTTGAACAAATTGCCTCCAGAGTCCTGCGCGGTGCGCCTTGCTGTCCGGTTCTCCTTCCGTAAAGATTTGAGGGCTGTCAATCGACAATCGGTGCTGTCTTGCTCAAAATGCCGTCGGGACACAATGTAAGTGGCGCGCGGGATCCCCCTTACAAGCTTTCAGCGCCGGGCCTTGGCGGGGCTAATCGTCACATTGTGTTATACCAGGATCCGAAGTTGCTCTACGCCATCGAGGGCGTGTCCGCCTACCATATTTCCAATGGCAAGGAGGAGCCGCTAACGCGTGGCGGGCCTCAGACTCTCTCGCTCCTGATGGTGCCGACGAGCTCTGCGTTCGCCGACCCGGCTCATGTCGACTCGTTGGGTGGCAATCCTGAAGAGGACTTCTACCTCCATTTGCACCTACCTCCTGAGTTGGACCTGCCACTCCCCGCCACAACCCAGATCTATCACCAGCCGCCGAGAAGCTATCTCATTCCGCGATGGGATCTAGGCCCCGACTCTGGCGCCTTCACCCGAATCGAGTTCCCATCTGTCGGCAGCCGCAAGGGATTGCAGGAGGACGTGGATACCTTTGAGACAATCCTGGCACAATGCACCGCGTTCCTCGAGAGGTACCCAGCTCCTAGGACCGGGACCAAAGAAAAGCAAGGCTCAGGGTACGAGAAGGGGGCCAAGGGAACCAAGGCTGGTTCTTCTGAAAAGGACAAGGCAGCTGCAGCAGATGCGCTCCCAGCCTATAACCCCGCCGACTTCAAGCCGGGAGAGGCTTACGTGCGGGGGAGTCATAGCTCTCACCCAGGTGGGCAGATCGTCCTCATCGACGAGGAAGACGGAAGCGTGATCGGCGAGCTCGCCGATGGTTTCAATGTTGTGGAGGATAGTGCTCTGAAGCCCGGGTCCAAAGGTATGGTGCGCCCTGAAAACACTCGCCACTGTGCTGGAGCGCTAACGAACGTCATATGTCAGATCCGGTTGAGATTACCCTCTCCACCGAGGGGGGGAAAGATATCGCCGTCACCCCAGCGTCGGCCGAGTATGTGGACATGGATATGCACCCAGCATACATGAAATCATCCCTGGTTTCCAATGCCGCTGCAGCATCTCGGCTCGTCGTTACCACTTCTTCCATGGTTTCATCGATGCTCCAAAGCCAAGCAGAAAACTTCACGCGGAGGACACAGCCGGATGCCAAGCCGATGGAATTCAAGCCTGCCACGCGTGAGCACATTCGCCGAATATACACTTTCACCGGGAACGCGGCCGGGCTTTCCGCAAAGACGGTCAGCCAAATCGGAAAGGTGGCCCAGAACCTCGGGGCAACGTTCGCGGGACACGGTAGCAAGAGGGGTGGCAAGGGCTATGGCCCGGACGGGCAGCCTCTGGAGAACTACAAGCCGGGAATCTTAAACAAGAGCTTCATGGCGTTCTCGACCGTGGCGGATGGCATCGAGCAAGCGGGCAAGCATCTCCTGACTTCCACATCGTCGGCTGCCACGACGGTGGTGGCCCATAAATGGGGCCCCGAAGCAGGCGAGATTTCCAGGGGCCTTGGGGAAGGCTTCAAGCACGTCGGTCTAGTGTATATCGATGTTGCCGGGGTGTCGAGAAAGGCCATCCTCAAGAGCGTCGCCAAGGGTATGGTTGTGGGTCGCACTGCGGACGGCGGCCAGGTGATCGTAGGTGGCGGGGATGGGGGAGGCGTGGAAGTTAGTCAGGATCAAAAGGAGTCGGACTCTGCGAGCTCTGCGAGCAGTTTAACCAAGTTGGAAGGGAAGAAACCTAGCAATGGCAACGGCGGGAAGTTCTGAGAAGCAGGCGGACAGGTCTGGGGGGACGGAGTTCATGAGTTGTATATGTTCTGAGTTCGGCCTGTAGGTAGGTGTGGTAGGTACCTAGTCGGGTCATTCATGCAATTCTTGGTCCTGGAATTTCTTGCCCCAGTCTGGTCATGTGACTGCGTTTAGAGCCGCCCCGGCGCGTCGCAGCGGAAACCTTGGAACGCGTCGAGAACTAAGACTACTTTCTCGGGATCAACCAAGACTAGGGACTTGGGAAAAGCGCTTCCCCAAAGGCTAGAGCAATGCACTCTGAATTAATCGGAATGCATACTTGACTTTAGCAATCATCAATTATGTTTATCTGTTGACTCGGCCACGTCGTCGAAGTCGTCTCTTGTGGCCCGCTTGCTGCTTCCCGCTTGCTAGCCCTCATTGCCAGAGCCCTCTAAATGTGTTGCAGATTTGAACTCGTCGGATCAATAATACTACTCTTCCAAAACCTCCGAGCCAAGCCAATTCCACCAGCCTCGCCGAATGAAGCTGGCAAAGTAATGTAGGCCAGCTCATGATGTCCCCCTACAGGAAGACACCGCAGGAGGCAAGCACTAATGCCCAAGCCAGCCCGCTTTCTCCCGCAACATGCTCCACGAAATCCTCCTATCCCTCTCCGGCCACCCCTCCCCCCTCCTCCGAGCCGCCAGCGCTTCAGGCCCCAATGGCATCGGCCCCGGCTCCACCGCAGACAAGGTCCTCTCGCCCCCCGAGCGCGCCCTCCTCGCCTCCCTCGCCCGCCTGAGCGACCTGCACGTCAAGCTGCTGAGCTTCACTGCCCAGATAGGCGCGTCGCACCCCTCCACCATCTGCCGGGCCGTCGCCACCGCCATCGACTCGGCGCACCTCGGCGCCTTCCAGAGGAAGGTGCTCGAGGTCGAGGACTCGATCCTGCGCGAGGATGCCGGGCTCGTGGGCGCGTACAACGTTGTCCCGCTCACGGCGGTCGTGGGGGAGTTTGAGCCATGGACAAGGAGGATGGAGTGGTTATGGGACGTTGTGCAGTTCATGCTGAGGTCCGAGCGGCCGAAGGACACTGGAGCTGCCGGCCAGGCGGCCAGCCCTTGTACGGGATCGATGCTTATTGACCGGTTGAGGGGCGAGCTGCAGACAGGGTACGCCGATGTCGAACAGACGGCGAGGAGCCTGGTGCGCGTCGGGGAATTGGCTTGGTTGAAGCAGGTCTCCGCGTGGGTCTTGTACGGCCAGTTGCCGAGCTTCGGCTCTGCCGACTTCTTCGTGCAACGATCGGAAGATAGTGACGAGGTGAGTACCCGCTTTTAGCGACTGTTTTGGTATCGAGGACGCAATGCTAATGTGCGAGCAGGAGTATATATGTATTTTCAGTCTCTTGCCGTCCTTTGTATCCAGGTCGACGGCGGCTTCTATGTTGTTCATCGGCCGGTCGCTGAACCGGATACGGTCCAAAAGCCTAGCGGACTCGGATTTACAAGGCGCAGATCATCTCTCTTCCCAGCTCAAGGAGTTGTCGAAGTTGACCTACCCCTTGGACTCTGCGACATTCGCGAGAACGATAACACACATCCGACAGTTCCTGTCGAGGACCACTCTCCAACGGCTACTACCCCTTTCCAGAGTCATGGAAATGTTGAACCTGCTCAGGGACTTCTTCCTTCTCGGCCGTGGCGAGTTTGCCATGGCCCTGACGCAGCAGGCAGACGAAAAGATTCGGAGTCGGTGGCGCAGGGCCGACAATCTCGCATACGAGAGGCGAGACGGACTCGGCAATGTCGTCCTCAAAGAGGGCGAAGTGTCAGCAGTCCTTGCAAGGACCTGGGCCGCGTTGGGATCCATGCAAGGACAGCATGCCGAGGAAGACGAGGGCTTGGAGATGGCACGCGACCTGCTACGGTTAACCCTGGCGAAGTTGAAGCCGACAACCCCAGCAACCCCGGCAACCACTGAAAGGGGTCTGGCTTCTATCGCACCAACGCCGTTCCGCAATCTTCTCTTCTCAGTCCCTGCTGTCCTTACTCTTCAGATACCCTCCCCTTTGGATCTGTTCATGAGCCAATCCGATCTCCAGACCTACACAGCAATAAATTCCTACCTCATATCAATCAGGAGGGCACATATTCGGCTCACAGATCTCTGGAAAGTAACCTCCCTCCGGCGTCACCATCCGGCCGCCCCAGCACCTCCATATGGGAGCTCCAAGGCTGGCCAGGAGAAGGTTCGCCTCTTACGCCAAAGGCGCACGACGCGCGAGAATGCCATGCGGAGTGCTTGGGCAACCAGCAGCGCCGCAATATTCTTCCTGTCTGAGGTGGAAGGATATCTCCAGACCGAGGTTGTTACCGGGCTTTGGGAGGGGTTCCAGAGATGGATCATGACGGGAAGCGACGAGCCGCGCCAGGACACGGCGCAGCTGAAACTGAGGACCGAATCACCACCCACCCTTGACCGTAGGGAGACCACGCCGAATCTTGATGATGCCGCACAGGACGAGGACATCTGGCTAGCCACCTCGACATCTGAGACACCGAGGTCTACCAACCCCGTGAAAAAGCACGACGACAACAACACCCGCCCTCCCAACCGCGGATCCCAGCTCCACGACCCCCAATCCCTCACGACGGCCCACCGCGCGTACCTCCGCACCCTCGTGCGGCGGCTGCTCCTCAGCCACCGGCCGTTCACGGACCCGCTGTGCGAGCTGCTCGCGCACATCGACCGCCTCGTGGCGCTGGTGCACCGCCTCGACGGCATCTGGTCGTCGGCCGACCTGGAGGCGGACGCGGGCGTCGTGGACGCGTTCGTGGACCACGAGCGCGAGGAGCGCGACGTCAGGGCCGAGATCGCGGGGGTCGAGGCGGCCGTCAGGAGGGGCGTCGAGGGCGTCGTTGGCGTGCTGAGGGGGCTGGAGGGGGCTGCTGGGGGGGGATTGCTGGGTCTGGATGGGGAGGGGGAGGGGGAGTATGGGGCGAAGGAGGACGGGGACGGCGGCGTGCTTGGGCTCGGGGAGCAGGGCGAGTATGTCCCGCGCCGGGTCGGCGGGGTGGATAGGTTGCTGATGAAGCTGGATTTTGGGACGTGGTTTGAGTCCGGGAGGAGAGACGGGTCTAGTGACGACGGACTTGAAGACTGGCCGACGCGGCGTCACTGAACGTGAATGGTACTGAGGTCATGAATTATGACGGCGGGCGTTACGCGTGGATGACTCGGTGTGGCGTTTTGTATGACCTCCTTGATCACTACGGGGTTTTCATCCTTCTTCCAGGGAGTATGGATAGAAATATGCATTATCATAACTCATGGGGTATGGTTGCGAGTCTTTAAGTCGTTTCCCTCCCCAAAAACCAATCACCTACACCGTGACAAAACCGGATGTGTTAGCTTACATCTTCATACATCGCCCAACCACACCCCCCTGGATGGTCTTGCAATCATAAGAAGTCAAACAAACTCGAGGAGCCCGGCCAGATGTACTTGTCTGGATAATGCCGAGTCTCTCCGCCCAGACTTAAGCCTGTCGAGACATTATCAGTAATTGGGACGTTTGTTTCCTCATAAGACGGGGAAGTGAGCATACGAGCTGTATTAGACAGATCTATCTTGTAAGTAGTATCACGGATGACCATCCAAACCTCCACCTCGACCTTGCCGGGAGCCCAGAACGTCAGGTTCTTTTTGGCGAGATCTGCAATCTGGACGACGAGTTGGTTAGCGCTAGGTGCCGACTCAGGGCGGAGTTCGGGGGGTGAGAGGATGCTTAAGGCCCTCCCTGTATTCCAAGTGGAAACGGTTCACTTAGATGTCCTTGGATGATGGCCAGATACACGCCTTCCTCGAACCAGAGATGGCGCTCGTTCAGCCTGTGCATGGAGATGACGAACCGCAGCTTCTCGAACACGTTCTTCCGGAGCAGGATCGCGACTAGCTCGACGAGGAGCTCGGACCAGACCCATCCGCTGCCGTGCTTTCCGTGGCCGAGGGCGAGTCGGACCTCGAGGAAACGCAGGCTCTGCAGAGTCTGGACGCCGAGGAACTGGCAGAGCATCTTGGCCGGCTCGCGCCCGGGAGTCACGGCGGCTGGCGGTCGACAACCAGGTTCCGGGTCTTGAGGACCGGGAGGCACTCCCTCATGATGGCCCGGCACAGGAGTAAGATTGGTGGAGGTTCGGAGTCGGCCGTGGTAGACCGGGAACTCCTCCTCGACCCTCATCGACCTCCTGACGTAGTACTTCCCGATCTGTCTGTTGTAGTCCCTGTAGAGTGTGTGGGAATCCGGCAATTCCAGGGACATGTCGTAGATTATGTTGCGGATCTCTGGGGGGAACAAGAGGAATGTAAATGGTACTGTGGCCCGTTGCGGCGGGGCCTGTGGGTGCGATGAGCCAATTTCCTCCTCTTCCCGGATATCTTGCGAGAAATCTATGGGGTTTCCTACGGGACCCGGAGCCGGTCCGGCGTGTTCCCCGGTCATGGTCGGATCGCCTAGCTCATGTCGGCGTTTGAGAGGCCCGACCAGTTGAGAAGCTCCGAGACATTGGGACCACGAGATGATTTCGGGTGTTTCATGGCACTGTTCCAACTCAGGCGGCTGAAGGACGGCATATTCTGCCTCCGGATGGAATTTGGCGTCGATTTCCGCCTGCACGCCAGGAATGAGAGAGAGCTCGTATTTAGGCATGTGTATACCCTGGCCCCCGCTGGTGGGGACAGGTGAGAGACCGATTCACTGGTACCCAGGTACTATGAAGATACTTTCTAAGGCAACCTCATGTATAGCGGCAAATTTATCTCACAGTTACCATCGATGAAGGCGGAAGAAGTAGGTGAGAGAAAAGAGAAGGCGACTCGAGGGCTGACGACTGGAGGTCGATTGCAGAGAGCACGATTAGGTTGAGAAGTACAGCTTTGAAAGGCTGTCCTTTCTCGTCAAGCCACCCGAAACGGGATCATCAGAAACTGTAAATATTTACTGAGTCCATTGCTGCGTTTGCTTTGCTCAGGAGACACCCGCAGTTTGGAATTATGTCGAAGTCCACGTGAACCATCTTCTACTGCGTAGCTCATTAGAAGGTAAGGTACCTCCTATCTTGGGCTCAAGACCATTTATTTAAGTTCTCAACCTGAGTTTATACAGAAAGTATCAGATGGTAAATCTGGGGAAAGCCGGCTTTATGTACTCCGTGCCTTGGCGGTAACCTCCTGGTGCTGTATGTACTTGTACCTACCTACGGGTAACCTGGAACTTCCAGGTCCCTTGTTACGCTGTACACTTCCATCTCTCCCTGGCTGGCAAAATTCCGTCATTCCATCCTTCAACTTGTGGCTGCCTCTCAAACATGCAGGTCCGTGCGTCAGATTGCCACTAGTCTGGGCTGGCCCTGCCCTGGCCCCCTGGTGTTTGGCCCACATCTCCTCCCGATCAATCCGCGTACACCACACACTCCCCTCTCTCACACCTCCCTCCTACTCCGTACACCTCCTCCACATCCTTGTATCTACACGCCCACGATTTGGCCTAAGAGGAACAGCAAGGGCCGTGAATAGAGAGGGAAGGAAAAAAATAGGCGTTTTAGTTCAGTCTACTCGTTCGTTTTATTACCTCTTTTCTTTACTCCTTTTCTGGCCATGTCCACCGCAAACAGCCAGCATCCCGGTCTTGCTTTTGGCGTCAGCGGCCTGAGACGCGGCTTCCCACCACCACAACACTCGAACCCGCCCAACAAGCCCACCTCATCACTTCCGCAGCACGCATCCCCGTACCAGCCTCAAGCCTACACATCTCATCAGCCTTCGCAAGGAAGCTTCCCCGGCCATCTCTTCTCGACTCCTCCTCCGCCACAGATCCCCAATGTCGCGAGCGTCCAGAATGGCCCAAGGCCACCTCAACCTCAAGCCCCGCCGGCCCTACCGCCCGGCCCTCGACAGCGAGCTGCTGCTCCCCGCCAGATGCAGCCCCAACCTAACCAACCCCTTAGCTACCTCCACCAGGCCCTGAACCAGCAGTCTATGAGCCAGCCGCCCATGAATCCCCAGCAGTTGAGCCAGCAGCCTCTCAGCCAACAGCCCATGGGCCAGCAGTCCCTTGGGCAGCAGCCGATAAGCCAGCAGCAGATGAGCCAACCGTCCATGAGCCAACAGCAGATGAGCCAGCAGCCCATGAGCCAGCCCGTCCAGCAGAACGACAGCCCCCATGCCCAGTCGCAACCGGCCCTGCCGCCCGCACCCTCGCAGGTTCCCCAGGTACAGCAAGTCCAGCAGGCTCAGCAATCCAAGCAGCAGCGCACTCCACCTCGGCCAGAAGCCGCTGAACCTGCACAGGAGAACCACCATGACGATGATGATATGGATGTTGGAAGCCAGGATGAGTCGGGGGACGGGGAAGGTAGCTCCCTGGAGGCAAAGTTGATTGAAGCTGGCGCTTTGATTCCCAGGCAGCCGATGGGACCCATGATGTCTGCTCCTCCTGAGGGTGGCAGTTTTCCGACTCTAGAGGCTGTCCATAAGCACGTCTTGAGCTACTGCATATCTGTCGGCTACGCCATCGTGATCGGTCGATCCAAGAAAACGGTCCCGGGGTTGAAGAAGGTGCTTTTCGTTTGTGATCGGGCAGGCAAACCCCCGCGGCGTATCAATCCGGAGGTGCGCAAGAGAAAGACGACGTCGAGGAAGTGTGACTGTCAGTTTGGCTTCTTCGCCATTGAACAGAGGACCCAGTGGACTGTCCGATACCGCCCGGACCCTGCCCATCTGCAGCACAATCACGGCCCAAGCGACAGCCCTCTGCACCACCCGGCCGCGAGGAAGCTGGATAGCAAGATGGTTGCGGCAGTCAAGGCCCTGAAAGAATCAGGTATGTCATGCCTTTCCAATGCGATCCCCTCCGGCTCCCAGGCTGACCATCGCCAAGGTGTCGGGGTCAGCCAGACGCTCGAAATCTTGCACGCAGACAATCCCGATGTGCGTCTGCTCCCGCGAGACATTTACAATGCTCGGGCGGCTATTAATCGGAATCCCGTAAAGGTCGCCACGGACCTGGCCGAGAATCGGCCGGCCATCTATAGCAAGCCTCACCCCTCGGCTGAGGAGCGCATCCGGGCTGATCTCCGCCGCGAGATTGCCAAGGCCCGGGAAGAGCTGGACAAGGTGAGGGATGAGAGCAAGAAGGAGATTGAGGATCTCAAGGAACAGCTCCGCGAGAAGGACAAACAGATTGGAAGGTTCGAGATGTTTATTGACATTTGCAACCAACGGGTCATGATGCAGCGAGAGCGGCTCTCTGATGGCAACGAAGCAAACGGCGGGGCTGGCAGCTCCAATCCATGAGGGAGGAAATGGGAGTCATCATTGACTTGCTTCCCGCTTATGGCCCCGTCATTGCTCGGCATATCTGCATGATTGGGATGGGATGGTGTAGGATCAAAGGCAAAAGGTTACACAAAGGTCTGATCTTTGATGATTGAAGCATCGGCGTCGGTTCTGTGTCTAGGTCAGGTTGGCTTGGGAGTGCAAGGGCAGTGAGGCAGGGTTGGAGTGGTATGAGTGAACAGGGCAAAATGAGGCGGGACGGGGACTCTTAAATCAGGCGTACGAGTTTGATTATAACGTAGGTAATGAACATGCCATGGCTTGACGATATGGCGCTATGAATCGTCTCTCTTCATATCTCCCCTATATTTGTCCGTCCCTCGATCAGCGAAGCCTACCTACGTAGTCAACAGTTTTCTGTTCTTGAAGCCATTGGAGCCTGAAGCAATGGCGGAGACCGCAGCCTATCTGGCGTTTGGCAACCGTGGAGCAAGTGGCGGCAGAATACGTGATGTGGTCCTGGTGGTGATACCTTTCTTTGTCCATCTATCTGTCTAACCCCATTCTCTCTCCCCCCTTTTTTCTTCTTATTTTATTTATTTTTGCTGAAGACAACCTGCTGTGAGCTTATGTAAAAAATATAGACTAATGGCCCTGAAAAGCCAAGACTTGTCCCGTCTCCTTATCCTCTATAAAGCCGTGGCCCAATCAGAATTCATCCCTGTGGGTCTGCACCCCCTGACACATGCTGGCTGTCGCGACAAGGGTCGCGTAAAACTGGGGAGAAATTGCTAAGTCAACACCACTCCTGGCCTCTACCTACATACGTACCTACCTAATCTATCTTTCCTTCTTTGCATCGAACACTCTTTAGAAGGCTCACCCAACACCAGTTTAGCGACCGGCGACAGATAGAACGATACCCCCGGATTATTTAATACCTTCCTTTTCTATTTGATGAACTTGGCGCTTTCTTCTTGCCCCGTACATACCTTTGCGGCATCCCGTCGTCTCCCAAATATCCCGACGAACCCCGAGAAATGACATCGACCAGCTCATCGTAGAGCCTCGCACCTATTTGAACACCAAACCACACATCATGGATGTGGTGGCACCTCCACAGACGCCCAGCCCGGGCCCGAACGGCGCCGCAAGCCCCCCTTTCGCGGCCCTCGACCCGACCCGCGTCGTCGACCATCTCGCTGCCCTCCTCGAAGCCGCTCTCGGCGCAACTCGAGACGAGCTCGAGGCTCCAGGGAGCTTGCTCTCCAAAACCTCATACCCCGACACAGTTCAACGGTGTAGCCGCTTTACTGCCGACTCCCAAGCCCTGTACATACAGAAGTCTCTAGCTCCAACAACCCAGCTTGAGAATGGTACTGCCGAGCATCGTATGTGATCGATCCCCCTAATCTTTACACCCCGTATTCCTAGTCTCTACCCTGAACTGTAGTTATCATGCTGACGAATGGGGTCCTCTCTTAGAACCGCCCTTTCACACCTTCACCATAACCTCCGACTTGTCTTCAATATCGACAACCGTTGCATTCCTGGTGCTCTTGAAGCGGCCGCAACCCCTTGACCCTAATGTCCCTATAAGCTCCCAGATTCAGATGCTTAACCTGCCCGGGCCAGCATACCTCTCTGCGACATCCAGCGAACAGGGGCCAACAGCGTCGCCTTATGAGATCCTACAACTTTATCTTCACAATGGCCTCGCGCCGTACTTCGATGCTAGCACCAAGAGCCAGCAGATGGTTAACGGTGCCCGGGGTCGCCCTGATGTTGACGCGAAGACGGGCATTCCCGTCACGAAGAAGCGTTGGACGGAACTGGAGCTTAGCCTGGCTCACCTACAGCAGAACGTTGAGATCCCCGAAGTCTCCCTCCCATTTCACCCCATCGTCCAGAATGCCCTCGAAGAAGCTGCGTCCCGGGGCGCGAGGTCGACCATCGACATGATACCGGCGACCCTTCTTCAGGACAGCAGCTTTCTCAACAATCTACAGGCAACAGTCAACAACTGGATCAAGTCCATCCAGGTCATAACGAAGATGACGAGAGATCCTGCAACGGGCACTGCGAACCAAGAGATCAATTTCTGGTTATCCATGGAGTCGGCCCTGGAAGGCATCGAGGCACAGCTGAGGAGTGAAGGCGTGATGCTGACCCTGGAGATCCTCAAGCACGCCAAGCGATTCCAGGCCACGGTCAGTTTTACAGCGGACACGGGGCTGAAAGAGGCGATGGAAAAAGTGCAGAAATACAACCAGCTCATGCGAGACTTTCCCCTCGATGAGCTGCTGTCAGCCACGTCGATGCCCAAGGTGCAGGATACCATCGGCCAGATCTTCAGCCACCTGAACAAGAAGCTGCGGATATGTCCGTATCCGGTCCGGAGGGCGTTGCCTCTAGTGGAGGCCATCTCTGCCGACCTGGACGAAGTCCTGCACCGACTGCTGCCCGGGACGGAGCTCGTGGAACTCGACTATCAGGAGTTCAAGAGTGTGATGAAACAGGCCAGCGACATCTTCAAGACCTGGGACGAGAACGTGAAGGAGTTCACAAACGTTGCTCGTGAGGTAACACGCCGCAGGAACGAGAGGTTTATCCCCATCAAGATCAACTCCAAGCATGGCGAGTTGCAGGCGCGTCTGAAGTACGTTGGCAACTTCCGGGACAACCATGAGCAACTCCAGCGGACCATCGTCAATGTGCTCGGACCCAAGGCCACAGTTAGCGGTATCGCCGATGGCACTGCTAGTAGCGGTGCTGTCGTGGTGGAAGAGATGGGCGACGTCGATGCTGTTGAGGAGGTAAGGCAGGCGTGGGAGGCTCTCAAGAATGTAGACCTCCTCGACGTCTCTACCGAAGGCACACAGCGGTGGGTGAAGGTCGAGAACATCTACAACGAGAGGACCTCGCGCGTCGAAAACTCCATCATCGCACGGCTAAGAGATCGGTTGGCGACGGCAAAGAACGCCAACGAGATGTTCCGTGTCTTCTCCAAATTCAACGCCCTCTTTGTCCGACCCAAGATCCGGGGTGCCATTGCAGAGTATCAGACGCAGCTCATCGAGAACGTGAAGACTGCCATCACCGGACTCCATGAGCGCTTCAAGCAACAGTACGGCCACTCGGAAGCCCATGCCATGGCTCAGCTCCATGACTTGCCCCCCGTCGCCGGTGGCATCGTCTGGGCTCGCCAGATTGAGCGCCAGCTGGACGGTTACATGAAGAAAGTGGAGGACGTCCTGGGTGCAGATTGGGCCCTCCACGCCGAAGGCCAGAAACTCCAGAGCGAGAGCAGCCTCTTCCGTAAGAAGCTAGATACCCGACCCATCTTCGAGGCCTGGCTTCACGACGTCCAGCGGAAGAAGATCTCCATATCCGGGCTTCTCTTCAGCATCCACAAGGTCCGCTCAGCCGGCAATGCCCTCGAGCTTGTCGTCAACTTTGATCCGCAAGTCATCGCTCTCTTCAAGGAGACGCGGAATCTTCTCTGGCTCAACTACGCTGTGCCGCATTCGGTCAACAACGTGTCGAAGGAGGCCAAGAGGGTCTACCCCTTTGCCGTCAGCCTCATGGAGAGTGTCAGGACGTTGGCACAAACCAACCGACAGATCTCGGAAATGACCGATGTTGCCGTCCTCTTGAGCGGGCACCGGAACGAGGTGCACGGGCTTGTCGCGAAGGGATTGCCCCTGCAATGGGAGTCATTTGTCAACACCTATGAGCTTCATTTCAAGACGGCACCATATCTAGCCAACGGCAGCAACCTCGACTATGCTCAGGGGAAAGGAGGCGAGAGCAAGCACGTCCTTTTCGTTCGGGAATTTGCGGCCTCGGTCTCGCTCCTCCAGACCAAGGCGGCCACTCTAGCCTCCATTCATACAACCATCCAGAAAGCGCTATTGGAACTCAACACCTGTCCCTACGAAGTGGCGGCTTTCGAGTCACGCCTCGAGACCATTCAAAAGGCGGTAGACCAGCTCAACCTGGAGCAATACGTCAATCTTGGTTTCTGGGTTGAGGGCATGAACCGGCAACTGAAGTCGATACTCCTCTCCCGCCTCCAACATTCCACCCAGTCCTGGATTAAGGCCTTCGAGGACGAACAACCGGAGAGCTCCAACGACCGTAAACGGGCCATCGAGAATGCCGGGGCTGCACAGTCGGACATCCCCGTGATAGGGAGGCTCGTCCATGAAATCACGATGCGCAACCAGGTCATCTACCTCGACCCCCCCCTGGAGTTTGCACGGGCGAGTTGGTACTTCCAGCTGCAGGAGTGGCTGGGCGTCGTCTGCAATCTGAAGAGGATCAAGGCCGGCCGATACCAGATGACCCTGAGCACGACAGCCCAAGACGAGCCCCGGTTCGACGACTTGCCAGGCGAGTGCACCGAGGCCCTTGCCCGAGTCCAGAGATCGGTCGAGAAGAAACTTCGGGAGATTGGAGGATACGTCGACAAATGGCTCCAGTTCCAGTCCCTCTGGGACCTGCAGTCGGAGAAGGTGTACAACGAGCTCGGCGACAAGCTATCCAACTGGCTCCAGCTCCTGCAGGAACTCAGGAAGACGCGTCAGACATTTGATACCACCGAGGTTTCGCGCTCATTCGGCCACATCACCATCGATTACGACCAAGTTCAGACCAAGGTGAACTCCAAGTACGACCAGTGGCAACACGACATTCTCGTCAAGTTTGCCGGCCGATTGGGAACGCGGATGCGAGAAGTCTGCGCAGAGATCGAGAAGGCTCGCAAGGACCTCGAGGGCCAGGGCATGGCGGGCAATTCGACGGCCGAGGCCGTGCAATTTATCACCGTTGTCCAGAACTGCAAGCGGCAGGTGAAGCTCTGGGCCCCCGAGGTCGAGACTTTTAGGCAAGGAGAATCGACGCTCGTGAGGCAGCGATACCAGTTCCCGAATGACTGGCTGCATGCCGAGCAGGTGGACGGCATGTGGGGGGCGCTGAACGAGCTACTTGCGCGGAAGGCAAAGATTGTAGAGGACCAGACAGATGCCCTGCGGGCCAAAATCATCACCCAGGACAAGTTGGTTATCGACAAGATCACCGAGATCGCGAGCCAGTGGAACGACGAGAAGCCAGTGTCCGGCACTATCGCCCCTGATATAGCATCCGCAACCCTTTCTACCTTCGAGTCTAGGATCACCAAGCTCCAGGACGAGTCGCTGCTGGTCGCCAAGGCCAAGGAGGCTCTCGATCTTCCCGCCACCCCCGACAGCTCACTGAATGTCATACTCGAGGAGGTTCAGGACTTCAAATCAGTCTGGTCCTCCCTGTCCACCATCTGGAAGAACTTGAACGAGCTCCGAGAGATGCTATGGAATAGTGTCCAGCCAAGGAAGATCCGGGCGTCGATCGACAATCTCATCAAGATGACCAAGGAAATGCCCAGCCGGATGCGCCAGTATGCCGCCTTCGAGCATATCCAGAACATCCTCCGGCAATATCTGAAGGTCAACCCGATGCTGGGAGACCTCAAGTCTGAGGCGGTCCGTGATCGACACTGGGCCAAGATCTACAAGGAGATCAAGCCGGGAAAGCGCTACTCGCCTGTCTCCATGACCCTTGGAGACGTTTGGGATCTCAACCTTGTCGCCACCGAGGTCACCATCAAGGATATCATCGCTCAAGCACAAGGGGAGATGGCGCTCGAAGAGTTCCTGAAGCAGGTCCGCGAAACCTGGACCAGCTATAACCTTGAACTTGTCAACTACCAGAGCAAGTGCCGCCTGATCCGAGGCTGGGACGACCTCTTCGCAAAGTGTAGTGAGAACCTCAACTCGCTGCAGGCCATGAGGCACTCGCCGTACTACAAGGAATTCGAGGAAGAAGCCGCCGCATGGGAGGATAAGCTGAACCGTGTCCACGTTCTCTTCGACGTCTGGATCGACGTCCAGCGCCAGTGGGTCTATCTGGAAGGCGTTTTCACCGGCAACGCCGACATCAAGCACCTCCTTCCCATCGAATCCTCGCGTTTCCAGAACATCAACAGCGAGTTCTACGCCGTGATGAAGAAGGTATACAAGCAGCCCTACGTCCTGGACGTCCTGAACATCCCGAATGTTCAGAAGTCGCTTGAGCGGCTTGCAGAGCTCCTGAACAAGATCCAGAAGGCTCTCGGAGAATACCTCGAGAAGGAGCGTGTCTCGTTCCCGCGCTTCTACTTCGTGGGCGACGAAGACCTGCTCGAGATGATAGGCAACAGCAATGATACGCTTCGAATTGCCAAGCACTTCAAGAAGATGTTCGCTGGACTATGCGGCCTTGTCATGGACGAGGAATCCATCATCTCGGGCTTCACGTCAAAGGAGGGCGAGCTCGTTCGGCTGAAGAAGGATATCAACCTCATCAAGACGCCCCGAATCAACGACTGGCTTGCGCTGCTGGAGACAGGAATGAAGGCAACACTGGCGGAGTTGCTCGCCGAGGCTGTCGATCAGTACACGCCGATATTCTCGAGCGAGCTGGTCGATCAATCTGCCCTGAACGAATTCATGGCTGCCTACCCGAGTCAGATTGTCGTCTTGGCCACCCAGGTCGTGTGGACCACGGCGGTGGACCAGTCCCTCGCCGAGGGAGGAAAGACACTGCAGTCCCTCTTCGATCGTGAAGTGCAGGTGCTGCGCCTGCTTGCCAGCACCGTGCTGGGCGACCTTGAAATCCTCCTGAGGAAGAAGTGCGAGCAGCTGATCACGGAATGCGTCCACCAACGGGACGTTATCGAGAGGCTCATCAATCTCAACGCCAGCTCCCCCACCCATTACATGTGGCTGCTCCAGATGCGCTATGTCTACACGCCGGAGGGCGACTACCCGCAGCGCCTGCATATCAAGATGGCGAACGCGAAGCTCAACTACGGCTTCGAGTATCTCGGTGTCCCCGACAGGCTCGTTAGGACTCCGCTCACAGACCGATGCTTCCTCACACTCACTCAGGGTCTCTGCCAGCGTCTTGGAGGCTCCCCATACGGGCCGGCCGGAACAGGCAAGACGGAATCAGTCAAGGCACTGGGTGTCCAGCTCGGGCGGTTCACCCTTGTCTTTTGCTGCGACGACACTTTCGACTTCCAGGCCATGGGCCGCATTTTCCTGGGCATCTGTCAGGTTGGTGCGTGGGGCTGCTTCGACGAGTTCAACCGTCTCGAGGAGAGGATCCTGTCTGCGGTGTCGCAACAGATCCAGAATATCCAGCTTGGTCTGAAACAGGGTGCCGAGGACGAGACATCCCAGATCGAGCTCGTCGGCCGACAGCTCCGCGTGAACGCCAACACGGGCATCTTCATCACCATGAACCCCGGCTATGCTGGTCGTTCCAACTTGCCCGACAATCTCAAGAAGCTTTTCCGCAGTGTGGCCATGTCCAAGCCAGACAAGGAACTCATTGCCGAGGTCATGCTCTACTCCCAGGGCTTCAACCAGGCAAAACAACTCTCGAAGCAGACCGTGCCTTTCTTCGACCAGTGCGCGGCGAAGCTCTCCAAGCAGGCACATTACGACTTTGGTCTCCGAGCGTTGAAGAGCGTGCTCGTGAGCTCGGGCGGCTTGAAGCGTGCCAGACTTACCGGCAGCGATGGTGGTCTAGGTGCCGAAGAAGTTGTGGAACCAGAGATCATCGTCCAGAGCATCAGGGAGACCATCGCTCCCAAGCTGATTAAGTCGGACGTTGATATCATGGTGGACATCGAGGAAGTTTGCTTCCCAGGCATCCAATATGTGCCGGCAAGTTTGGCCAAGCTGCAGGAGGCGATCCGCCACCTGGCGGCGGAAAGGCAGCTCGTCGTCAATGACACCTGGATGACCAAGATCCTCCAACTCTACCAGATCCAGAACATTCACCACGGTGTCATGATGGTCGGTAATTCGGGTTCCGGAAAATCTGCTGCCTGGCGGCTCCTCCTCGATGCCCTCCAGCGTGTCGAGGGTGTCGAGGGCGTCTCGCACGTGATCGACTCCAAGGTCATGTCAAAGGAAGCCCTCTATGGCAACCTGGACTCGACGACTCGTGAGTGGACGGACGGCTTGTTCACCAGCATCCTTCGCAAGATCATCGACAATCTTCGGGGCGAGGACTCGAAGCGGCATTGGATCGTGTTCGACGGCGATGTCGACCCCGAATGGGTTGAAAACCTGAACAGTGTCCTCGATGACAACAAACTCCTCACCCTGCCCAACGGTGAGCGTCTCAACCTTCCTCCGAACGTCCGCATCATGTTCGAAGTCGAGAACCTGAAGTACGCCACTCTTGCCACGGTCAGTCGATGCGGAATGGTATGGTTCAGCGAGGATACCGTGACGCCGAGCATGATGGTCGAAAACTACTTAGAGACTCTCCGATCCGTGGCATTCGAGGACCTGGACGAAGACGCCGTCTCCACCGGCCAGAGTTCCGCCAAGGCTCTGGCGGCTCAAGTTCACGCGGCGGATCTCCTCAAGACCTATCTCACCACGGATGATCTCATCCTGGCTGCTCTGGAGCAGGCCAGAGGCTATCGGCACATTATGGAGTACACGGTGGCTCGCGTCCTGAACACGCTGTTCTCGCTGTTGAACAAGGCGGTCAGGGATGTGATCGAGTACAACACCCAGCACGCAGACTTCCCGCTCGAGGCGGAACAGGTCGAGGCCTACATTTCGAAGAAGCTACTCTCGGCGCTGGTCTGGGCCTTGACTGGCGACTGCCCGCTGCTGGACCGCAAGGCATTTGGCGACAGCCTTGCCGGACTGGCCACCTTTGGCTCTCCTCCCCTTGATGGGACCAGCTCCCTTATCGACTTTGACGTGTCTCTACCACGAACGGACTGGACGCCCTGGCAGAATCAGGTCCCAACGGTGGAGGTTAACACCCATTCCATCACGCAGACCGATGTGGTCATCCCGACGCTGGACACGGTCCGTCATGAGGATGTCCTGTACTCATGGCTCGCCGAACACAAGCCACTGCTCCTGTGCGGTCCTCCTGGTTCGGGTAAAACAATGACCCTCTTCAGCGCACTCCGCAAGCTTCCCAACATGGAAGTAGTCGGCCTCAACTTCTCCAGTGCAACGACGCCAGACCTCCTTATCAAGACGTTTGAGCAGTACTGCGAGTACAAGAAGACCCTGAACGGGGTGATACTTTCGCCAACCCAGATCGGTCGCTGGCTTGTCATCTTCTGCGACGAGATTAACCTGCCGGCTCCGGACAAGTATGGGACCCAGCGAGCCATATCGTTCCTCCGCCAGCTCGTGGAGCACAACGGGTTCTGGAGGACCTCTGACAAGTCCTGGGTTACTCTCGATCGGATCCAGTTCGTCGGTGCTTGCAACCCGCCGACCGACGCCGGACGAACCCCTATGGGTGCTCGTTTCCTTCGACACGCTCCGCTCATCATGGTCGACTACCCTGGCGAGCTGTCCCTTCTCCAGATCTACGGCACCTTCAACTCGGCAGTGCTGAAGATCATTCCCTCCCTCCGTGGCTACGCAGAACCACTCACACAGGCAATGGTCCGCCTCTACCTCGAGTCCCAGCAGCGATTCACCCCCAAGATCCAGCCCCACTACGTCTACAGTCCTCGTGAGCTGACCAGATGGGTGCGCGGTATATACGAGGCCATTCGTCCCCTCGAGACCTTGTCCATTGAGGGTCTCATCCGCATCTGGGCGCACGAAGCCTTACGCCTCTTCCAGGATCGTCTCGTTGCCGAGGACGAACGCAAGTGGACGGACGAGACAGTGCACAGAATCGCCGTCGACCTGTTCCCCACCATCGATGAGGAGAAAGCACTTGGAGGACCGATCCTGTTCTCCAACTGGTTGTCGAAACACTACGTCCCGGTTGATCGTGAGCAACTCCGAGACTTCGTCAAGGCTCGCCTCAAGACTTTCTGCGAGGAGGAGGTCGACGTGCCGCTTATCCTCTTCAACGACGTCTTGGAGCATGTGCTGCGCATCGATCGTGTCTTCAGACAGCCTCAGGGTCATCTGATCCTCATCGGTGTCAGTGGCAGCGGCAAGACCACTCTATCGCGCTTCGTGGCGTGGATGAACGGCCTGAGGGTCTTCCAGATCAAGGTCCACGGCAAGTACTCGGCCGAGGACTTTGACGAGGACCTGAGAGAGGTCCTCCGACGCTGCGGCTGCAAGGGCGAGAAGATCTGCTTTATCATGGACGAGTCTAACGTACTCGATTCCGGCTTCTTGGAGAGGATGAATACCCTCCTCGCCAACGCCGAGGTCCCTGGTCTGTTCGAGGGAGACGACCTGGCAGCGTTGATGACGGCTTGCAAAGAAGGGGCCCAGAGGCAAGGCCTTCTCCTGGACTCTCAAGAGGAGCTATACAAGTGGTTCACCCAGCAGATCGTCAAGAACCTCCACGTGGTGTTCACCATGAACCCGCCCGAGGATGGCCTATCTTCGAAGGCAGCTACCAGCCCTGCGCTGTTCAACCGATGCGTGCTCAACTGGTTCGGAGACTGGTCCGACCAGGCTCTGTTCCAGGTCGCTCACGAGCTGACGCACTCGGTTGATCTTGATCGGCCCAACTTCCAGGCCCCGGATACCATTCCTGTGGCCTATCGCGGCCTCAACCTGCCCCCTTCGCACCGGGAGACGGTTGTCAATTCCATGGTCTACATCCACTACTCTCTGCAGCACTTCAACGCCAAACTGCTCAAGCAGCAGGGCAAGGTCACCTTCCTCACGCCCCGCCACTTCCTCGACTTCGTCGCCCAGTATGTCAAGCTCTATAACGAGAAGCGCGAGGATCTTGAGGAGCAGCAGCGCCATCTCAACGTCGGTCTGGAGAAGCTGCGAGACACGGTGGACAAGGTGCGCGACCTGCGCGTCAGCCTCGCCGAGAAGAAGGCGCAGCTGGAGCAGAAGGACGCCGAGGCGAACGAGAAGCTGCAGCGCATGGTTGCCGACCAGCGGGAGGCCGAGCAGCGCAAGAACACGTCACTCGAGATCCAAGTCGCGCTTGAGAAGCAGGAAGCCGAAGTTGCGTCTCGGAGGAAGATCGTGTTGCAGGATCTGGCGAGAGCAGAACCGGCCGTCGAGGAAGCCAAGGCGTCGGTCAGCAACATCAAGCGGCAGCACCTCACCGAGGTGCGTTCCATGAGCTCTCCGCCACAGGGTGTCAGGCTGGCGCTGGACTCAGTCTGCACTCTCCTCGGCCACAAAGTCGCCGACTGGAAGAACATCCAGGCTGTTGTCCGGCGAGACGATTTCATCGCCAGCATCATCAACTTCAACAACGAGAAGCAGATGACAAAGACCCTCCGGATCAAGATGCGGAACGAGTTCTTGGCCAATCCCGAGTTCACGTTCGAGAGGGTCAACCGTGCCAGCAAGGCCTGCGGTCCTCTTGTCCAGTGGGTCGAGGCTCAGGTCAGCTATGCCGAGATCCTTGACCGTGTCGGCCCACTGAGGGAGGAGGTCAACCTGCTTGAGGAACAAGCTCTCCAGACGAAGGCCGAAGCCAAGGCTGTCGAGAACACGATCAACAACCTCGAGGCCAGCATCGCCACCTACAAGACCGAATACGCAGCCCTCATCAGCGAGACGCAAGCCATCAAGTCGGAAATGTCCAGGGTCCAATTCAAGGTCGACAGGAGCGTCAAGCTCCTCGACAGTCTATCATCCGAGAGGACGCGCTGGGAGGAAGGGAGCAAATCCTTCGAAACCCAGATCAGCACGCTCGTTGGCGACGTCTTGGTAGCTGCTGCCTTCCTGGCCTACAGTGGCCTATACGACCAGACGTTCCGAAAGTCGATGATGGAGGACTGGTTGCATCAGCTTCACCTGTCCGGTGTCAACTTCAAGCAACACAACCCGATGACAGAATACCTGTCCACGGCAGATGAACGCCTCGGCTGGCAAGAGAACTCCCTCCCGGTCGACGACCTGTGCACGGAGAATGCGATCGTCCTCAAGCGGTTCAACCGGTATCCTCTCATCATCGATCCGTCTGGCCGGGTTACCGAGTTCCTGCAGAAAGAGTGCAAGGATCGGCGCCTCACGGTCACGAGTTTCCTCGACGACTCCTTCACGAAACAGCTCGAGAGTTCTCTGCGTTTTGGCAATCCCATCCTCATCCAGGATGCAGAGCACCTCGACCCAATCCTCAACCACGTCCTCAATAAGGAGTACCAGAAGACTGGTGGTCGTGTCCTGATCCAACTCGGCAAGCAGCAAATCGACTTCTCGCCCGCGTTCAAGATATACCTGTCGACCCGTGATCCCTCGGCGACGTTTGCTCCGGATATCTGCAGTCGCACCACCTTTGTCAACTTCACCGTCACGCAGAGCAGTCTTCAGACACAATCACTCAACGACGTCCTCAAGTCCGAGCGCCCCGATGTCGATGAGAGGCGCTCGAATCTCATCAAGCTCCAGGGCGAATTCAAGGTCCACCTACGGCAGCTCGAGAAGCGCCTTCTCCAGGCTCTCAATGAATCTCGTGGAAACATCCTGGATGACGATAACGTCATTGAGACCTTGGAGACACTCAAGACGGAGGCTGCAGAGATATCGGCTAAGATGAGCAACACCGAGGGTGTCATGGCAGAAGTTGACCAGATCACGCTGCAGTACAACATTATCGCCCGGTCTTGCAGCGCAGTGTTTGCCGTTCTTGAGCAGCTACACTATCTCAACCACTTCTATCAGTTCTCGCTCCAGTATTTCCTCGACATCTTCCACTCGGTGCTACACGACAACATCAACCTGGCGCAGGAGACAAACCACAATGTCCGCCGTGATGTCATCGTCCGGGATCTATTCGTGGCAGCCTTCAAGAGGACTGCTCTCGGCCTGCTTCAGAAGGACAGGATCACCCTCGCCATGCTGCTTGTGCAAGCATCTCCATACAAGATGGACAGGACCTTGCTTGACGTCATCCTTGATGACAAGATTGAAGGGAAGGACATCTCGACCGATCAGGACGCGAAGGAGGAAATTTTCTCCAGAGCTCAGAGGATCCCGGCCCTCAAGGGTAGACTCGACCGCGTCGCCGAGGGCGATTGGCAAAAGTTCTTCACCGAGGAACTTGCAGAGAACTTCGTGCCTCAGATCTGGGAGGACGATGCGGAGCCGAACGACCGTGCCCTTCTGTCCTTGCTTCTTGTCAAGCTCTTCCGTCTCGACCGGTTCGTACCAACAGCTGAGCGGTTCGTATCCCAGGTCTTCGGAGCCGGGCTGTTCGATATCGTCGAGGACCTGAAAGAGACGGTTACTCAAGTCTCGGCCACCAGGCCAGTCGCACTGGTGTCCAGCCCCGGGTTCGATGCCTCGTACAAGGTCGACGGCCTCGTCGAACGCATGCGGGTTAGGTGCACCAACATTGCCATGGGCTCCAACGAAGGACTCGCCAGCGCGGACAAGGCGATCAGCAACGCAGCCCAGACGGGATCATGGGTCCTTGTCAAGAACGTGCATCTGGCGCCGACTTGGCTTCAGAGTCTCGAGAAGCGCATGGACTCGCTCAATCCCCACGCCGACTTCAGGCTGTTCCTGTCCATGGAGGCCAGCAACAAGATTCCAGTCAACCTTCTCCGCGCGTCTCGCGTCTTGATGTACGAGCAACCTGCGGGTGTCAGGGCCAACATGAAGGACTCAATGTCTTCGCTGTCGACGCGGTCTGGCAAGAGCCCGGTCGAACGCGCGAGGCTGTATCTTCTGTTGTCGTTCCTGCACGCCGTTGTCCAGGAAAGGCTCCGCTATGCGCCAAATCTGGGATGGAAGGGCTTCTGGGAGTTCAATGACGCCGATGTAAGTTGCCGAGTCCCCCCCTCCCCCCTCTCTCTATCTTCCCTTCGGTCTCCCAAACTAACCCTTTGCCCCCTAGTATGAGTGCTCTGCCTTTGTAATCGACACGTGGGTCGACACGGCGGCCCAGAACCGGTCCAACATCGCACCCCAGAACATACCGTGGGAGATGATACGCTGCCTTGTCACGGAGACCTACGGCGGCAAGATCGACGACGAGGGCGACTTCAAGGTGCTGGACCAGCTGGTGCGCACCTTCCTCACGCCGTCGGCCTACGACATCGGGCACAAGCTCGTCCAGGGTGTCCAGGGCGAGGGGGATGGCCAGGACCTCGTCGTGCCGTCGGGGACGTCGATGCAGGAGTTTATGGGCTGGATCCACAAGCTGCCGGAGCGCGAGCCGCCCACCTACCTGGGCCTGCCCGCCAACGCGGAGAAGCTGCTGCTGGTCGGGCTCGGGCGGAGCTTGATCGGGAACCTAAAGAAGGTTACGGATCTTTTGGACGAGGGCGAGCAGTTGGTGACGGAGGTATCCGCCTGATTGTTTTCTGGTTGAGCATGATGAGCTTGGGAACAGGACATGATCGACGTGGCGTATATGAGAGTGAGAAGAGCATATGTGTTTGCCTTGTCTGTGTCATTTTTAAAGCCTGGGCAGCAGGCCTGCTGCCTTCTTTTTCTCTCTTCTTTCTTTTCTTGTTGTGTCCATTTCTAGAGCTAGGGATTCTACCGCGACCGGCGCAACATTCAGGGCGGCTTTCACGGATTTTGGCTTCATCCCGTTATGGGCGATCGCACGGTCAATCTTCTCATCACTGATACCCCTCCCAAAGCAGACATTGGTTCAGATTGGTTCTTCTATGTCTTTATTCAAGATTAGTTACTATTGTATTAAGCTGTTCAAACGAGGGTTCCCAAGGGGATCGATATTCTGCTACCACTGTGAGGGTTATTAACCAGACAGAGGGCCTCTTACTCGGCAGGCAAGGACAACAATATGCATGCACGACATAAGCCTGGCGGTTGGTTTGTCATTTACTGTATACATATAGGCACCGGACTCGGCTGCGTCGCTGCATCCCAGCAAAGCGCCAAGGAATCCCGGGGCTTCAGCCATTGGCCAGCATGGCGGAGAAGGAGGCAAGAAATAGGGGAAGTGAGGAGGGGGAATCGGGCTGGTTTGAGATGCGGCGTCTGTCCAGGTGACATGCCGCCCCTGCCCCGCAGCTCCGTCACACCTTGTTGGCTTCAACGCCAAGCTTCTCTGTGCACCGGCCGAGGAGAATTGGAAAGAGGAGAAGAAAGCCAAGGATCCGATCCTTCAGCACATCTCCGGTTTTGCCTGAATGGGTGTCCTATATATGCAAGACGAGTCACTGCAGAGGTCAGTCTGATACTCTAGAGCCCGTAGCCCGTACTGACTTGTCTTAGATCCCGGTTGCTAACGGCGTTCGATATGGGGGCCCACTAAGACCGGTACTTACCTAGCCTCAAGAGAAAGCATGGACGACGACATCGTTAGCGTCCATATAGGTGTAGGAGGTGCGTCGTGAACTCGCCGCCCGATGACGACACTCCATCGACGGAGGTCAAGCCCCTAGCCAATGACTGCAGCGGATTGCAGCTTTGCATTCCAGCCGAAACCCACCCCGCATCCCAATGCGTGCATAGCCGTGACTGTCTGTGGTTCGATTCATCCAAGTTCCCTCACGAATAGTCTGAAGAATCAAGTGGTGTAACGAGTTTGGAATGTGGAGAAGGGGATGATGACCACTTCCTCGTATGATGGGTATGAGTGAACAAGGACCTGGTTGGCGATGGCTTGGCCTAGACTAGGTACCTCCGTAGCTGACAAGCGCCCACTTGCATCGAAGATCCAGCCAGGGTTCTTGCACATCTGATTCTGGGCTGGCCGGGGCAGACTAGTTTGTCTTCAGGATCGACCGCTTAAAAGAGGCCCCTCTGCAAGCAGGCATCAGCAGGCCGTAAATCACTCCCCCACAAAACGTCACCCACCAACACGGCTCTGCCTCCCTGACTCTCTTGGTAGACCATACATAACCAGATTACCCTCCCGTGGAAGACCAATTGACTCTCGGCCAGACAACATCAAGCACTTCTTGCAAACTTTCCAACCAAGGAGCCTTAGAAACCCTGCCAAAGATGGACCGCTTGAATCAGAGTAGGTATACCGGACTTTCCGGGGCCTCTTCAATGCTGACGTATTTTGTCTAGTCAACCCCTTTTCGAAGAGGGAATCGTACAGTAGGAACAGGATCATCACGTACAAGGTCCTGACTATCGTGACATGGCTGTTGTCCGTTATCGCCTCGGTCTACTATACCTTCCACCGTCCCCATGACGGGCACCACGCTCGCAGGAGGATATGGGATCAGAATCACATGTATCCTACGGGCTTTACGCTGAACCATATCATCGCGTCGATCTACTGGTGAGTTGGGGGGGGGGGGGGGGGGGGGGGGGGGGGGGCGGGGGGGGGGGGGGCGCGGGGGGCGGGCGGGGGGGGGCGGGGGGGGGGGCGGGCCGGGGGGGGGG